AGCTCGTTATTCCCGAGAACTGACTGCAGATGTCAGCTTATGCATTCGTTTTGGGTCAGTTCTTATAAATAATTAAAGTTTCCCAGGGGAAACGGGCCTAAAGAGCCAAGGTACATGGCTAATTACTGAGGGGGAAGTTGTAATTTATGTTGCTGGGGTGATATACGCACTTCAAAGGACTCCAAATCTTAGGATGTTGGGGTGTCCGCAAAACAAGTGCATAAATTATGTATTACTACTCAACTTACCCAGTATGATTAAAATATTTATTATTTAATTACTTAGTAAACTAAGAATATGTTCTTTAAATTCCCCCCTCATCAATCACCAAACAACCTGCTCAATTTCCGAAGCCTACTTTTCCGGGACTCCTTGAAATGTAGACATTTTGTTTGCATATTAAGTTCAATTACCGGCACACAAGCTGCATATCTAATGAGAATCAGAGGCAGATCCGCATAGAGTGGCACTCCATCCAATTTCACACAGTATTTGGCAGGCTGCCACTTGATTGTTCTCACGTAGGTCGATATTTGGGTCAAAGTGCAAATTAGCATAAGTGATGCCTCCCGAAAATCCCCCAGGCCTGCGGCATGACTGGCAATAGCCGAAGATTTAATTCGAACTAAAAATAGCAGCACGTGTTGCAGGAAAGACCAAAAGGACTCTTGAAAATTTTATTAAATTTTGCCCCCCATATTTCTTTACTTGAAAAATGAAATTACGGGTAGAGTGCCATTAAGAAGCGGCAGAAACAACAAAGATAACGAGCAGGAAACATGAGCAATAAAAATACACAATAAAAAATGAGAACAAGCGTAAAAATATGGAGGGGAAGTACCATTCCGATGATGAGATGGCAAAGGTAAACAAGATACAAGCAAATATTGACATGGAAGTCGGCAGTCATATAAGCAGGGAATGTAATGGAAATAAAAATGAAAATGATGCAGGGCTTTTCTTTTTCCATCTTGTTGCTGCCACAAGTGAAGGCCGCCACTAAAAGACAGTCAAAAAGTTGACAAAGTAGGCCGCAAGTTCAGATTGTTCTTCAAGTTGTCGCATTTGAGTTGTGCCCTCAATTTTTTCCCATTCTCATGTGTAAGAAGATTAATTATTTTGCTACTGTTTACTACTGTGCTTGTATCCTGTCAGTTTACCAAAATATCAAAATATTTAGGAAAGAAAATGGACTTACTGAAGACAAATAGAGTAATTATTAAGTAATAAAACATGTACGAGATAGGATAGGATTTGATCGATCTAAGAATTAATTGATATTGATAATTATATTTTTTAACTTAAATATAGAACCTATTAAGGTGTTTTTACAATAAAAAATACTTTTGCTATTTTTGTATACTTTTTAAAAGTGGTATTACATATTTCTTGTATAGTAGTTTCTTGCAGCACTATAAAAACATTGTATTGGATGTAAAAATTCAAGTTTACAATGAAAAATAGAACAAAATTTAATAAAATCTAGTTATACCATTAATATTTTTTAGGGTATTTCTTACACTTTTTAAATTGAATTCAACAAAGTGGCAACAAGTGACCGCTTCCTGGACTTCTCCTTCGCCTCGAATTTCATGCCCGGCGCGTGCAGCAAATTAACACGCCCCGTCTCATAAAGAGGCCCTAAGCCGCAGAAGAAAATGGAGAAAGAGGCGGGGTAATACCAAGAAAGTCGGAGGCTGAGGGCCCCAACTCCCTGCGAGAAGTTAATGCCGCGCAGCCTGTTAAAAGGAAGCCCGTATTCGATTTCCACCATGAAATCCGTGCGTTACCTTGAGGGTCCCATAAAGCGAGCAACTCGAGACTTCACCGCAGAAACGAATGTAAAAATTATTTCCGTTTATTATTAATAAGCAGAGAGGAACTTTAACCATACATACACACTCGTCGTTTATGGAGATGAAATTTAAACCAAAAGATTGGGGTGGAAAGGCAAGCGAAACCCGCATTGAAATAGCACAGAAAATGCTAAAAATATTTCCCCCAAGACAAGGCACTTAATTAAATGCTTAAAAATAGCTATCCCCAAGGTCGGTAGAGACAGCTGCTAGGATAGGATGGCATATTAAAGGCGGTATACCACAAAAGATGGGGAAAAACTAGACTTGAATGCTGTCAAAATGATTACGTGACTGCTGGAAATGCTCACTTTATTGTTACGAGCATTTGCAATTTCAACTGGCAAGCTGGGAAATTGAAACTGGGAAATGGAAACTGGGAAATGCGAACCAAAGAGTTGCCAACGCCTCGTATGAGCAACACTCAAAGCTGTAAAAATCACACATACGCCCCATAGTCATCGTAGTCGTCCCACAATTGGTTGCGTATCTTTTTATCTCACTTTAATGCCCCCGCATTTGTCGGCTGTCAACGAGAATTAGGTCAAAGGATATTTTTAGACTGCCAGACTAGTGGGCATGCCAATTTCTGATCTGGTCTGGGTTGCAAAAATATTTAGATTCCGAATTTCTGACATATTTCATCAACTTTTCGGTCACGTCACGATGGAGCCACCTAAATGATTGAGTGTGTGAGTGCCCGGTAATTTGTTGTTGAGCCACAAAAACACACAGCAAATCAGCAGGAACATCATGTACGTGACTGTTGTAACTTCGATGGGCCATTAAGTTGGCATGGGGGCGAAACAATGCCCAACACCCCAGAGATTCCGCATTTAATGGGCCTGCTAATTTCATTAACTTCATTTGTCAAACAGATGGATTTTTATGATAATTGTTTGGTTTCAATTTCCCAGCGGCAATCCGCTATTAATTTGAAATCTGTCGCTCAGCCACAAATCAATCACTGCAAAATGCGAAATACGAAACATGAACCCCTTACCGATCCGATGTCAAATCAAACTGTCAGTGTGATGCGTTTTGGACCCAGAGTTATTCGATATTTATTGTCTGCCAGTTCGGTTGGAATCGTATTAATCAAATGCCTTTCAGACATCCTCAGACTTCAGACTCATTATAAATTCAGTATGAATCGCCCCCTCGTCAAGATATCCAGCGTCTTGACAACGGAATTCGAGCGGTGGTAACGGAGCAACAGAGATATCTTGATGGCAATTCAATCGTTGACCTACTTTCTGGGACACAATTTATTATGGAGAATAGGTTCGATGCTAGGGCCATTATAGGAGGTTCACCCGTGCGTTGGGGACTTGCCAGACTCTCCTAATTGCAGTTTCCCCATAATCATCATAATGTGTATATGCCATTGATTTGCGGCTATTTTTGGCCAACTTTTTATGGAGAAACTTTTCGATTGGTGTCACCAGAAGATGAAGATGGAGATAAAGTGGACAGTATATTAGGGCATAAGTTCTGTTGCTGTGGATACGATAATTATGATGGTTAAATGGTAAAGTTGGCATGGTGATGGTGATATTATGAAATGAAAGATGGCATCATTTAGGTTTAAGTAATCCAAATTCCTTGGTTCAAATGAAAAACACTTTAATTTTGGTGTAAATTATTTCACTTTTATTGAACTCTCTTTGCTTTGTGGCTATTGGCCTTTCAGATGATTACAATTCTTTGCTGCTCGTTTTGCTGCTTAGGTAAATAGTTATTAATAAGTATATGCTGCTGTATATATGTGTATAATAATGGTGATATTGTTTTGTATAATCCTTCAACTTTTATTGCTTTGGCTTGGGATTCAATGCGTTCGCATTTATATATATAGTTAGGCCTTGGTTTGCATTTCATTTAATATGCTTCTCTATAAACTGTAAATGTGTATAACTGCTAAAGTAATGTATATGTTGAATACTCTTAAGTCAGTTTCGCGGCTTCTTTAGACTTTGCTATATAATATCTACTTCTGAACTCTACTTACTGGAGTGCTGGGTTTATTATATCTTTGGAGTGTGTTAATTCTTTTTGGCAAATTATTATTTTTATTTGAATAAAAGTCTTAAAGTAAATAATTAGTGATTCCTAGGAGCGTTTTTGGCTGATTCAGTTAGGACTGCGGAACATAGATAAATGCCTGACAAATTTTGATCCCATTTAACATTTAGAAAGGAAATTTACTTAAACTTATCATATCATACTTCTTAAGTGATTTCTCTTGGAACAAATGTTGTTTACGTGAATCTTTGTTTGCTTTGACTTTTTGATAAAGGCACGAATTGTATAAGAATTTATACAAAAAGGAAATCTATTGTGACTTTTCCAATCGATTCAATCAAGCTTCTTAATTTCTTCTCAATTTTCTTTTGCGTTTACAGTCTTTGGTATGCGTGGAATGATCTTGATCTAGCATCAAAGCGGTGACAAATGTGTGTATATAGGCTCTATATCTGACAAATTCTACGCATCTACGATTTAATTAATATATATTAAGTGCAAAAGTTATTCAAATTTTTATAAAACTTTGTCATGTATGTTTGTTAAATCGTTTCCAATTCTGCCGATGTTTTTTTAAAAGACTTTCGGATATGGTGAAGTTGGAAGGGAAGGGGTTTTATGGGAGGTCAGGGAAAGGTTTACGATTGTTGTATCACAGATTTCGAAATGAATTTCAGGGATTGGGATGGGGGAGGTTAGGTGGAAGATGATGATACCAATAGATGCGCCTGCATTGACATTGCATTTCCTTGGGGCTTTTATCTACTTACTGAAAGGTTTTCAGGGATCTTAACATATTAATATCTTGAAATGGACTTTACCTGAATTAAAATAATTTAAAACCTTAGGTAGCTATGCTTGCAAATTGTGAATCGTTTTTTGGCTTAAAATGAAGTACTAATTTATATTAGATATTTTTAAATCTATCTATACATTTAAAATAAAATATTAATAAATGTAAATCGATTAGCTTTCTAGAATATTCATCAATAATAAACAAGTCCTGCAACTTTAGTAGGAACTAATGAAATAAAAACGTCTGAAAATCAATAATATTTATGAAATTGAAAAATAATATGAATTCTAAAATTTCTTTCTAGATAACCTTTTAGTAATAAAAAGAAAAAAGGATAAGGGTGATTGCTTGCTTAGCTGATTAGTGGTTCCTGATACTGCTTACTCTCTTTCCCTCTATTATCTTCTCATTGCCTTGTTATCCTGGATATCCTTTTCGATTTGAGTAGTGGGTCCTTAGCGCCTGGCATACTGACAGCAGACGGAACTGCGCGGCACCCGCTGCGTCGGCAGACCGGACATGCCCTTGAGATATGTGTAGGAGACGGGCTGCCGCAGGATCCTCTGTGGCGGCGGCTTCACCTTGCTTTTGGCCACTGAACTGCAGGACGATGAGGATGACCTGCCCATCGGATGATGTTGATGATGGTGTTGCTGTAGTTGCTGCTGCCTGTGCAGTTCCACATTTGAGGCAGATTTGAGGGCCGACTTGAGGGGCAGGGCCGCTGCTGGCGGACCGCTGGCGATTGTGGGAGGATGGGCAGCCGGCGGTGGGGGTGAGGGACCGCTGCAGGACATCGAACGCGAGGTGAGCGAAAGACTTTCGAAGGCGCGACGCAGCGAAGATGTGGAGCGTCGATGGAGACGCGAGAAACTGGCCCGGCTAATTGGCTTCCTCTTCGATGGTTGCTGCACTTGCTCCTGCTGCTGCAGTTGCTCCTGCTGCTCCTCGATGTCTAGGGTGCTGCTCGTCTCGCTGGAGGCACACGACATGGACATGAGCTCCAGTCGCGACTGATGGGCCACGTTGAGGCCACGCCCCGAGGAGCACGAGTCGGTCGATGAACTGTGCGCGTCCTCCTCCTGGAGCGTGACTCCGGCCACTCCCCCTCCTCCACCGCCTCCACTTCTCGATGTTGCAACGCTGGCTGCGTCATCCGACTGAACTAGGTCATCCTGCGACCTCAGGCCGAAGCGGCGGCTCAGCTGCCGAAAGAAGCCCAGATTGCGTTCGTAGCGCGGCGTTGGCGAAACGCTGAGACTGCCGCCCGGCGAGGGGGTGCCATTGCCCAAAGTGTTGTTGTAGCCCACATCCAGTTTGTTGTTGTTGTTGTTGTTCAGGCTGCCATTGCTGGCGGTCTTGTGTTGTTGCTGCTGCTGCTGCTGCTCATCGGCGAAGCAGACATGAGGAGTGCCCATCTTTTGTTCTTTTCAGCGACTCCTACCTCATCAAAGGCCACCGCGGCGTATGAGTAATTTCCTTATTAGCCAACAGCTGCCAACCGTGCGTATGTGTAATTTCCTTATTAGTAGTGCAGTCACTTATTTCTTAACTTTCTTTCTTCTGGCCAACCCTGCGTATGCGTAATTTCGGTAGTGCGTATGAGTGATCTCCCTGTTCTGAGCGCACTGCAAATGCACTTCCGCTTCCGGTGGAAATGCTCTCCGCTTCCTTTGTTATCCCTACCGGTGTCTTTGTTCACTGTTTACCTTTGCTTGTGTTTTCTATTTTCCAGCGAGAGCGAGAGAGAACCGACTGGGCACGTTGTCCTGCCGCTTGTGAGTCGGCAAATTGGAAGCCGCTGCCTTTTATAGCCTCGGCCGGCACTCTGCAAAGAGGTCCTTGGAGAGAGAGAGAGAGGGCGGCAGAGAGAGGGCGACTCTCGTTTCTGCAAGGCGTCTGCTCCTGCTCCTTGCCACGTCCTTTGTCCCTGCATTGTTGCCTAATAATAAAATGGGAAGCGAATTTTGTTTACCGCCGTTGGTTTGTTTTGTTTCTTGTTTGCACTGCCCCGGGAGCTTGCGCCGCTGGCCGCCAGGTGGTGTCAATGCACGGGGTTCCAGCAGCTTCTAGGCAGTCAAATACCTGGTATTTTCAAGGGGTATGATGCATTTGAGTTTCTGGGGAACAATTGGCTTTCTTGCATATTTTTTAAAAATTCGTAAAATTACTTAGTTCTGGTTTGATAAATTATTTGACTTGTAAAAAAATACTTTAAGGATTTAGTTGGGATACTGGGCTACCTTGGTTTCATTAAAACAACTATAAGTAGGAAATATCTTTTACATGTAATTTTAGGTGTCTAAAGGTGTGCAGTGAATAAAGGAAACTCGTATTTGTGAATGAATGCATTATACTTCTGAGTTTAAAACATCTTTTTGGATACATTTAGACACCTATAATGATTTTTATTGCACACCTAATAAGCCTCTCATTTTAATGCAAAATTTTGAAGGTTATATATTTTCATTTTAGTGTAAGTACTTATTTTATTATTTACCTTGTTCATATAAACCCACTTTTTTCCGTTTTCATAAACATTCAATTATAGTAAAACGAGATATTACCTCCTAAGTCGGATTATTAGGCATCTCTTATTCGAACCAAAATTCAAACGAATTCGGAATAGACCGTCTACTGCCTTTAATTGTTTTCCTTTCTCTCCCCACAGAGCCATCAATTATTAATCAGCTAGACGTTTTCATTTCACTTTTGTTCCGTTTGACTTTCTTGGTTGATTTAATTTGCTTTTGCCGAAAATAGAACCGAGGGGGCTTGGTGGTGCCTATTTTTGAGGGACCAATGCCTGATTTACCTTAAAATATCCTTGACGATGACAGTTTTCAAGGACTCTAGGCAGCGCACTTAAGAAACCAAGAGGCTTTTGTGTAAGGCAATATTTTATCAAAATTTCACCTCTCTTAAGTTGAGGGTCGAAAATAGATTCGGGCTGCCTCAAATGTTTTTGTTGGTTTTTATTTAATTGCGCCTGAAATTGATTTTAATGCGCTATAAATAAAGCCGAATGCCAATTTTGTGTGAACGCATTTTAAGACAAGATGAGACGGCGGCGGCTTAATGAAGTCCTTTGTTTTGACTTCGAGGCGATAAAATGGTTGGGGAATGAAAATCCAGGAGATGGGGAGCATTAAAAGCTAGGAATCAGGAGGTGTCGACAACGATGGGAATTTCCCATTCCCCTAAAAAATGCCATGAACATCTAATTAGAGGCGCAATTGTTGACATCGACTGACGTCAGAGCGGCCAGTGATTTTGTTTTGGCCAAAGTGACACAACTCGGATTTTAATTTGGCCAGTGGAAGGCGATGGGTCGGCAGTTCGGGTTCCATTGTTATAAGGCGCTTGTCGCAGCCATTTGACGGCGCATTAACTCATTTCGACTTAATCAACTTGGTCAACAGATTAATGAATAAGCTTAATGTTTTCCTGTCGGGTATTGACTCCAAATTTCAAATAAACTTTGCAAGATAATAAGTGTATTGGTTAGCCATTAAGTAGGTTGGAAATAAAAGCCAGTAAATACATAATTATGTACTCTTTAATTGGAACATTTTACTTGGGAATTTTATAATCATCTTCATAGTTCTTGTTTTAGATATAATTTTTGGTCAGTCCAGACTATCTTGTTTAAATAGACAAATTATTTTAAATTCCATTGAATACAAAAAAAGTAACTTTTAGTTTAAATAATTAAGGAGGAGGTAGGAATATACGTCTTTAACTAACTAGAGTAATGTTAAAAAAAATTCAATTAATAATAAATACAGACCTTGAACTCATCTTTCCCCCTTCAAAAATTAAATTACAACTTTAATATGCTAAAAATGAATTATCCTAGTTTCAAGAACAGCTGTCTTCCTTTTGCCAGTTGATTATTTTATTGTAATCGAAGGATTCCCATTCTGCTGGATTCCTGGAATGTGTGCATGTTTTGTTTTCCTCTGATTGTCTTCCATAGAATTACCCGAAGCACAACCCAAAACCATATCCCTGTCGAATTCCAGGAAGATATTTTTTAAAACGCAGTTGTCTGGCCAATGATAACAAATCATTTAATCATTTGAAAATCATTTCCTAACTGCGTCATAGAACTATTCCCTCTGTTTACAGAAATTTCGGTTAAAGGCTTTTGTTTGTTTGCAGATAAATCATGCATTTTAATTTGATTTTTTAGGACAAACTATGCCAAGGATATCCAAACCCTTTTAGCTCGGGGCTTGTCTATTATGGGCTGGCCATTAAGAAGAGAAGGGTTCAAAGAAACAATGACCTCGAAACGATTGCTTGGGCATGGACCATCGCCATGGCACGTCCTTGGTTTGAAGAACCCTAATAATTGGGGTGTCATCAAAATTTAAACGCTTTCGTTTGTCACGCCCGCCAAGTGCAGCGGTAACGATTAACTTCACACGGACATGATATGGCCCAGTCAAAACTATAAGGTCGAGTCCTTCGGCGACTTGATTTTGAGGACTTTGCCTACATCATCGGCAGCGCCAAAATCTCTCTGTTCCCAGGGAACAGTTCTCCTGCCGCAGACTGTTACCCAAACAAAAGGAGGCCATGTGCTCTCTCTCGCTCGCAGGATGCGCTTTCGCTCTCTCTCTCTTTGTGGGAGAGCTTTTGCCTACGTTAACAGTGTCCTTTAGCTTTCGGTAAACCGTTACGAATCGAAGCTCCTTGGCCAACGCAACTCGGTTCATTCCCTTTGTCTTCCCTTCACCTTGAATACGATTAAAATCATGTTTTTCTTTTTCATAGTCATGTATATTTTACTTTATTGACAACTAGACTTAGGTGTTAGGTTATCTCTGTTCATTTAGGATCTAAAAATATATAGGCTCTAAACATTTTCATTAGGTTCTCATTATCATCTACTATACCATTTACATTTCATTATGATATTTCATTGTTTAGAATAATTGGTTTTGTTTTTTAAAAAATTTCGATTTTTTGGAATGTGAATTATTGTAAAATGTTCCTCTATTAGTGTGTTCTTAAAGAATTTTGTTCTTTTTATTTGTATAAATTCGTAAAATTTGGTTTTTGTTATAGAAGTCATTGAAATTAGTGCAAAGTATATTATAAACTAGTTCAAAAGTGCAAAAATCGTTTGGTTTTTGAAAGTATACTTAAACGGTTTAACTGAAGGGTCTCGAAAATTGTGGTTTTAAGAGCTACTTTCGAAAGATATGTGAGGGTCTGCTAAATAACATTTTGTTTTACATTAAGCTAAATTTAATTTATTTTCGTTTGTAAACTGAAAGTCCCTAAATTAGCCGAAGACAATTAGATCATCTAAGGTGTATATCGTAGCACATTTATAGATAGGTTTTTGATTCTCGGGGCTGTGTGGCCTTAGGTACACTTATTGGGCCCAGCTGTGACACATTTATAAAATATGCTCGCTGCCTCTTGTTGTAAACCCCCCATTATTTTCCGTTTTCTCTGTATTCTCAAATCTCGGTTTTTTCAGGCACTACTCGTACATCACTAGAAATTCCTAAGTATATTGTTCAAGACCCCCCAACCAGCTTGCAGCTTTCCCTCTCCCTTAATTTAAGTATTAATTTTGATTTCTCCCTTTGATTTAGTACATATGCTGCAGGGTGTAGGGATAGCAGACTGCATAGCTGGGTACTCGGGAATAAAGCCCCGACATGCCCTTCATGGAGACATATTGAACTGGCGGCCGCAGGATGCTCTGCTGCTTCTTCTCCTTCTTGGAGGCTGGGGCACCGGAGGACTTGGAACTGGAGCCGGAGTGGCTGCTACTGCTGCTGCTGTTGGAGTTATTCGGCGACAGGGACTTCTTGGGCTGCCTCAGGGGAGTACTGCTGCAGGATAGCGAGCGTATCGAGGCATTTCCCGTGGGACTGGAGAAATGCTGTAGCATTCGGCTGACCGACGAGGAGATGGAAATCCGGCTGAGATGGAGTCCCGATGACTTGGCAGATGCTGCCGATGCGGATCTTGGCTTGCTGTTCTCGTTCTCATCATGGCCCAGCTCCACCTCGTCCTCCGCCTCATTGCTGCTGCCCTCCTCGCTGGTGTCCTCCTCGAAATGCAGCTGTGGATGCATTTGCTCCATGGCGCTGCCGGGTCTGTAGACGGCCTCCACATAGATGTGTCCCTGCTGATCGTAGTAATCCAGTCCAGGGGAATATCTAGAGCACGCCGAGCCACTGGAGGTCCTTGAAGTGTGCTCCAGGTCCAGGGAGGAGCCATTGTTGGGACACTCGTGCTCGTGGCTACCCCGCTCGTAGCTTAAACTAAACGAGTCCGTGGAGCTGCTCCTGATATCATCCTGGCTGCTGTAGACCGTCTCGTTCTGTTGGTTCTGATGGTGGAAATGCCTGCCCAGGTGCCTGCTGAGCAACTGCAGCAAGCTCCTGGAGCGAGACAGCTTCTTCGGTCCATTCCGGGGATGGCGATGCAGCTTCTCCTTCTGCTGCTGCTTGCCCAGATCCATGGAGGAACTGGCCGCCGAACTGCCGCTGGAGCTCGACTTGGAGCCATTATTGGGAGACAGAGTATCCATAACGAATTGGGTTTTTATTGTGTGTTTTTTTTTTGAATATTTCTTAGTTCACTTTCTGGCACTGGCACTGTGTTTCAGTTCGATTTCTGGCTTTTATTCAGTTTTCAATGCTTTTCCAATGGAACTTGTTGCTGGCTAACGCGAACCGCTGAAGTCTCGATGAAGACTACCAGTGGCAGGCGTTTGGCACCCGCTTTTATACAGCTCCTCAATGTCGCGGCAGCTTCGCATCCTAACCTTCGCCCCCACGAGGACATTTCCGCAGCTCGGCTGTGGCTTCGGATGGCCCGAACCGGATTCGCCTGCCATACTGACACACACCCGTCGGAAATCAGTGCTCTGTGTGCCGTCGAGAAGGACACTACACAGGACTCGGCACCCGCAGGAGTCTGCCTCCTCCTCGGCGGAGAAGGAAAACCTGTTGCTCGCCACGGGCTTTTCCATTCAACGTGACTGCTGATGCTTCCCCTTTCAGCCAGGTTAACAAAGCCAGCTAACAACACTTTGGGCGTCGCTGGTTGCACTTTTGAGTTTTTAGCATTGTTGTGCGTGATTGGGAACGTGATCCGTGCACGTCATCCACCCGACCGACGAGGTTCCTCATGAACACTTCCGAAAAATAGTGGGGCTTCCGGAAATCAGGAAGAGAGATTCCCACAACACCTTGTATGAACAAAAGCCCAATCCAATCATTTTACATTACCAATTAAATTTATTATTTTTTCTGCTATGTTAAAGGCATATTGGTATGCAATTAAAAAATTCTAGGTTCAACCTTATGATGTAGGTATGATACATTTTGAGTATTGCAAAAAAACAGCAAGATAATTAAATGGAATGTTAGAAGTATTAGATTAAAATAGATTAAAATGGGCAATAGATAAGAACAGAATATTGTTATTTTCTTTAAAACAATCTTTATTACAATGGCTCTTTATAACATTATTTAAGAAATATTACATTTCTATAGGAAATGTAGAAATGTATCCTTTTTGCATCACTATTATTTATAGTTTATTAGTAAAAATAATCATACTTTTGAAACTCGGAAATTTTAAGGGCCTATTCCTCGTACTTATGTTTTTGAACTCAAAATTTCCTTACGTTTTCTTAAGATTAACACCAGTGGCGGATCCAGGATTTGGTTGTGGGGGTGATTAAACAAAAGTCTTTTAAAAAATTGGAATAAAGTACATAATTTCATTGTAATAGCCTATTAATATTCCTTTGTTTTTACTTTTTAACCGTAGTCGGGGGTTCTATCCCCCTGTTGATCCGCGCAAGATTAACACAGATTCAATAAAATGGCTAAAAGTCTTGTTAAAAATTTTTAAAAAATGGTCAGAGGCAATAGCGTCCTCTAGTTAATTTGTGGTATTTTGTAATATTTATTCAGTGAGCTAGACGTACAATGTTCTGCGTAGCCTACCTTTTCGTTCAGTGTGGCTCGCCTAACACCTTTACATGAACAAGTTGGGCGCACACTTTAATAGTTGGCTCGGGTCAAGAAATGGCTAAAATTGCCACATGCAAGTGTCACAACGTGCAAGTGTCGCCTTTCGAACTTATCGGCATGTGTGCGGAAATCACGAGTCGCCAAGAAAGGAGAAAGGATGAGAAATGGGGCCAAGAGGGGCTCCTCTAATCCCTGATAGTTGGTGCAATTATATGCTTCGCCCAACAGGTTGCATCTCCTCGAGACTCAAGCTGCGTTTGCACGTTTTGCGAACGCATTTCGGTTATGCAGAGCCCCCTGAAGACACAAATGCTATATATAAATAAGACACCGTCGAGGACATTAGCATAATCGGCAGATCCAAAAGGTCGTTGCTTAAAAATACTACCGGATTCATTTCAAGGGGAAGGGCTGATTGTATTGTTCTAGATATTCCATTTTCAGCGAGAGTCTTACTTTAGGATTATTTTAGATATGCTTACAAATTAAGACACCCACACTTCTGAATAAATCAAAGGGTTTTGTGACAGGAAATAGGAAATCCAGAAAATCAGTCACTGGGTCACCATAGTTCCCGGGGATATAGCACGTACTATCGAGTACCCAACACCCACTTTATAGTACGCACATATATCAACCTGACCTCGGCTGAAAAATAAGGCTTAGCAGTGCGTGCCGAGGAAAATAGTGAAAAGACTTTTGTATGATTCTCGTTTCTATTTACTGTGGCTTTTGGCTTTTACGCGGAATCAGAGAAGGAATGAGGATAGCGACAGGGCGCCTATGCCGACATCCAGGGCGCCATAGCGATTCGCATAAGGATAGGGGTAACCACCATAGGGTCCCGGGCTGTTGGGGTAGTTGGGGTAGTAGCCTCCCCCCTGATAAGGTCCTCCATAGTAGTAGGGTCCTGGGTGGGGTCCCACGTAGGGCTGCTGATAGCTGAGACCGAAGGAGACCAGCGGCTTGGCCTTGACACAGGTGGTGGTGGCCACCGCCAGGAACACCGCTAACTGCAACGGGAGAAGGTGAGTGCTAGTGAAGGTGGTTCTTGCCTCCTGCCTCTTGAGGCAGGAAGCGGTATCGGTATCGTCTGCCTACCCATAGATAATTGCGCATTTTCTCGCCAACCTGCAAGCTACGCCGTCCAGTGTCGTTTTCACTTTGAGCTCCTCCCTGCCTTTCCAAAGACCTTTTATATCCCAGGTTGGGGTCTCGGGACCCAAAGCCTGTTTTAATATCGGGTAAACAACTTGCCGGGGGTCCGCTCCCTGCAGCCCGTTCTAAATTCGTTTCGTTTTTTTGCCAGCTCCACACCGAAAAAAGGAAGATTTAATATCTTAATTTAGTACAAAATTAACAAAAAATTGTATTCCAATCTTTAAAAGGAAAATGGTTTGAAGGGTATTTGAATAGGTAAATAATCCTTTAAGAATTTTTGTCACAACTTTTTAAAACAATTCTAAAATCAAGTACAATTTTTCTAAACTAAGTTAAAGTTAAACTAAGTTAAATTTAAAGTTAACAAAAAATTGTATTTCACCCTTTAAAGGAAAATGGTTTGAAGGGTATTTGAACAGGTAATTAAACCTTTACCGAATTTTTGTCACAACCTTATAAACCACTTCTAAAATCAACTACTATTTTTCTAAATTAAGTTAGCTTAAATGTGGTTACGCTATACTTATCGATTAAGAAAAATATCTCATTTTGGTGTTATAAATCTTCAACTGATTTTTAAATAACAAACTGATTTTTAAATAAAGAGAGTTTTACAAGTAAACTATTAAAACTATACTTTTAGTGTAGTTATTTCACTGGGCAATGTAAGTTTCTTGTTCGCATAGATTTGCCTGCCTGGTCGGCTGGGATTTCTTTAGCCATTAATTGGACATTGTAAAACCTTGAACTTCCCCATGTACCATGGAATCAGATGGCGATGCAGATGCTGTTGATGGTGCTCCTGCTCCTTTTTTTTACAGGAACAGGTTCTTCAGTCTCCCAGTCCAAGAAGATGATGGGCTGCAGAATGCTGTTATTGATGCCACCTTCCCTGGAATTCCGCCCAATCAAAGGTATCTGTTGACCAGATGAGCACTTTCTGATTAGCTTTGCATAATGAACACGAGTCCGATCTAGTTTCGTAATCAGCAATCATTATTGGTTGCTAGACAGCTAACAACGCTGTAATTATTTTTCCATTCTGAATTATTTAAAAAAAATATGAAAGTCATTTTGTGGGCACCTAAGAAATTTAAAAAGGGAAATAATAAAAAAAGAGAAAACAATAATTAATTAATTAATTAATTTCATTTATTTATTTATATCCAAACGCTACAAGTTAAGACTTATATTTCTTATATAATATTTAACTATTATTTTCCTTTTCCAACTTAAAATTTATTGGATTAAAACTTTTTTCATCAGTTCGCTGCAAGTAAAATGTTTCCTAATAAGTAATAGATATTTTCTTATTATATTTCTACATTTATTTTGTCTTTAATCACTCAATCTGTTTATTATTAGAATGTTTTTATATAATACTTAACAGCACTTTGTAAGTTTGTATTTTTTTTAGCTTATGTGTAAGCTTAAATGAAGTTCCAGAATAAAAAGTTTATTTATGTCAGTCTAAGTTTTTACTGATTAAGTGTAATTAATTCCATATGCTTATAAGTAAGGCACACAATATTCGTTCATATTCCGCGGATATCGAAGTGCTTTTATCGCTTCATTATTGGCCCACGAAAATACCTGCCGTGTGCGAGTCGCCGCCAAGCAATCAAAAGTTAATTAATGTTTAGCGATTCGATTAGCATTCGGTTTCCGTTCTACGCATTTGCGTACGTCCCATGGGTGGATTCCATGTGACAGCCCCAGGTCACGTTCCCGAGTTCCTTTCAGGATCCGCAAACCACGCACCAAAGGGCAAAAATTGTGGGAGGTGGCTTCCGAGCAGCTTTCTCGGCGGTCACATTGCACATTGCGATAGATTCTACGGCTTCTTTTGCGGCCTGGTGACGTACTACTATACGACATGTTTCTTGACTTGTTGCCACTTTGCAGTTTTGTTAAATTTAGACAGGCCTCCTGGACCGCAAGCACACATAGGTGAATAACTGTGGCCAGGGCCATTCGATATAGCCAGCCATTGTTGTGGCTTTATAACTGAACAATAGGAGGCCGAGTTCAACAGACAGCGGGTGACCTAGGTCACTTGGTTTTTGGGGGAAGTAGGAAAGTTGTTTTCACAGACAGCTCAGTACAATAAAGGTTATCCAGAGTTAAACCCCTTCGATGAGGTGGTCGAACTTTATTCAAATTTCACTTGGTTACAAGTCGCGTAAGGTTGGGTTTGTTGCCCTCCCCGAATCTAGTAGAGATACTCATAGGTCAGGGGCTTGTAGTCGCTGCGATATTGCTGCTGGAAGGAGTTGGGGGTCGCCACGCTGTGGTAAAGATGCGATTCTTCGGCTGCCGGGGCAATCAAACGGGAATAGGCCAGAGGCAGGACGGGCGAGGTCCTGGCAAAAGTCCCGGGGTAATACCCATAGGTAGGGGTATAGTAGTACACCTCGTGGCTTAAAGCCAGGCCAAGCAAGCAGGCGAAGATTAGCTAGTTGGGGAAGCAAATTCTTCAGAATACAGAATCTTAGTTGGGACTGGGTTCCCGATCTCACCAGCTTCATGTTCTCTCGTTGCAATTCCTTGTAGATCACCTATCCAATTGAATGAGTATTCCTGGCTGTTCCTGCCTTTTATAGCTGCCCACTAACATCCAGACCTTCTCTTTGGCCACTGGCCAAGGTCAAAGGCATTTGCCAAGCAGGCGGCAATTGAAAGAGGCCCTTAACTCACTTTGAATGGGCCAGTTGCAATTGCAATTGCCAGCGGAACTCGTTCCTTGCCACTCAAAATCAGCATCCAGATGCGAATCGGATGGTCGTGAGTCCGCTGACAAGACAGTGAAACTGCAATGCCACTTGGGTTCTTGCCACGGAACATTCTAGAGGCCTTCTCCTGTTTTTCACCAAACACCTTCCTTTCACTCGCCATAAAGTCAAAAGATTTTGTTTTACTATTTACTATTACTATTACTTAATATTTAAAATAACCAATTCTTCTTTTAAGATCTTAAGATTTCTATTTTTTATATTTTGTATACCTGTTTAATAAAATACAATTGAAACCCTTTACAAGTTACTCACCTTATGCTATTTTCTGAGTGTTTCTTCAACTCCTTGGCCTTCGTTAAGTCGCAAATGTTCGCATCTCTTTGCTTTTGTTTACTTCCATTAATTTATTTTGGGCCTTGCTCTTGGCCCGAAATAAACAGTTAAGGTTGTCCTGAATTGAGACGCACTTCCGGATTTTTCCAGCCTTCTTTGGATAGGCTTTCAAGGTCAGTGTGGGTGGGACGGAAAAAATTTGGCCAAGTTTTCTTTTGTCTTGAGTCGAATGAAAACAAACTCCCACGACGAAATCAATTAAATGAGTTTATTGTGTATAATTCCCATGAATGTTTTCGTATTTTGCGGGTTTGTTGATTTGTTTTTCGCCTGGAAAATTGCGAAGTTCTTGCTAATTTTTTTTGGGAGCTCTGCGGTGCGTATTTGCCAATATCACAATCGCATTTGTGGTGCAATTTGCAGTGGGTGGGCAGCAAATGCAACCTGAAGTCAGTCACTCACTCAACTGAAATCGGAGCCCTTCGCGTCCGCTAAGATTTCAAAAAGAGACTTTTAGGGTTTTGAGTATCGGACCAAGGTCGAGCAATTGCTAGGGCTTCTTGCCTTCTGGGCTGGGTTATATAAACCTGCATCGCGTTCAACCAGCCATCAAACCATCTTTTGGCAGCTTCTCAACGAGTTCCACTCCTGAGTTTCCATCTTAAGAAGTTCTTCGGTAATCAAAACCCCTTTCAAAATGTTCAAGCTGGTAAGGATCACCGCCTGAAAGGAGTTAATTAAGTAACCAACTTTTCCCGCCCCCCTTCAGTTCGTTTTCCTCGCCTTCTGCCTGGCTTTGAGCTGTGCCGCTCCCGGTTTGCTGCACTCGTCGCCCATCCTGACCCACTCGTACCACAGTCTGCCCTCGGTGCGAGTGATCCACCAGCCCATCTACACCTCCTCCATTGGAGGCTATGGAGGCTATGGAGGCTATGGTCATGGCCATGGACACGGCTTCGGCTGGATCTAGGCGGAGCCATCTCACAAATAGGCGTCCTCGAGCAGCCGACAGAGCTCCTGTCGCCCCAGGCTGTTCCTTGGAGTCTAGCCATTTTTTTGATGGACATGCCTCGAATAAAGTTCTGAAATTGGTCTGAAATTTATGTGTCATATTGTGCTTCTTCTGGGAGAAGGGGAAGAGTCCATCCTAAGGGGTATTTAAGCTTCCGTTGTTGTCTTACTTTGACTTAGTAATCGTTCGGAGTCACAGGAGAAATGTTGTCTGTAAGTACACTAAGAAAAAGGTGGGACATTTGTCATGGAATAAAATATTATTAAATTTGAGCTTTCTAATTTTTGTGAGTTATTACTTCTGAAAAATTTTTAACTTTTAACTAATTTTCGAAGACTTCTTAAAAGCTTTTCAGAAAAAAGCAAAACTTTTCAGAAAAAAAGGTACGATTAGGCATCCATTCTTTTATTAACCCCTTGATTTTTTAATCCTTTTAATCTTTTTATCTCTTTTATCTTTTTTAAAAGGTTAAGAAAAAGTATTCATATTAAAAATGTGTGCTTTTGTTATTTTTTCTCAACAGGTTATTTCAATTTGGTTACTTTTAATCAATGTGAAATGGTGCCAGCCGATGTATTTCCTTCTTCCAACTCAAGTTGCCCGAAGTTTGACCTTAAGAGAGGAAACATTTTACCAGGAACCAATGGAAGCCATTCCATCCATCGATGACCCCGCCAAGCTATTCTCACCCAATGATTTTTTCGGAGAATTCAACAAGTTCATCAGCGGCGTTCAACAGTTCGTGCAGCATCCGCCGGCTTCACTGTACAGTGCGTTCAACCAACTGCAGAGCAATGCCAAGAAGAACCACCAGAAACAGAAGCCCGTGAAAAACAAGGTGGTTCTTGACCCCTTTGGAAATATTTCATTCAACCTGGGCTGGTCGGCCAACTTGCAGGTGTTCAATAGCATCGGTTTCACCAAGAATCGAAGTCTGGTCAATTACAAAGCATGGTCCAATTAAGGGTTAACAAACCGCTGGGCTGAATCAATACCCAAATGCTAACATACTTCTGGGCTGGTGCGGGGCATTAAAATTTGAATTTAACGGAATTTTATATAATACAAAATAAATGTAAGCCCTTTGTACGAATCAGGTCGGTTCTGTTTGTGATTTGCCACAGATTACGTATACGCCACGGTGTCTAATTTTAAACGCCGCACGTTGCATTGTCTATGCGTTGTGTGTTGTATCCGCATTAAAATGGCTGCACGCCTGGCAACATGTGGACGGTGTAAGGATAATTATTCTTTATTAGTATGAGTCTGTGGTACCCGATTCCTCCCACTCGGCTCATTGTGCTCAATTTGTTAGTGGGTTTATTTATTTCAGCTTGGCCTTTTCCGTTTTCCTGGAATTTAAGAAGTTAGCTTGGCCTAATTCAACCAGTAAGAATTTATCTCACAACTTTTGGAAAATTTAAGGCACATCTTTTTGTTCTGTAAGTCCTAAAGAAATTCTATATTAAATCAGAATCTGATTACTGCAAGATATTATTTTAAACTAAATCAAGGCCATAACAATTGTCAACATAATCATTTGAAATTATCATTAAAACTATTTTAAATATTTACATTTCCATATATATATTAATCAATTTCCGGTTTAAATATTAGAATATTAGAGAATTAAACCACAAACTCATTGAGGTACCCCACATCTGAATCGGGATACAACTACTTAAGTTATGAAATCTATAAGTTAAGTTTTGGGATCCCATTCTGAACCCCATTTGATATACGGAAAAATCGAACATGAAAATGGGTTAAAATTTTGACCCTCCTGCATAAGAACACTTTTAATGTATATCATTAGAGAATTTAAATACAAACTCATAGAGGTATCCCACGTCTAAATCGGGATCCAATAACTCAAGTTATGAAATCTAGGCGTTCAGTTTTGGGACCCATTTTGAAACCCATTTAAAATACGGAAAAATCGAACATGAAAATGGGTTAAAATTTTGACCCTCGTGAAAAAGAACACTTTTAATGTATATCATTAGAGAGTTTAAATACAAACTCATAGAGGTATCCCACGTCTAAATCGGGTTCCAATAACTCGAGCTATGAAATCTAGAAGTTCAGTTTTGGGATCCCATTCTGAAACCGATTTGAAATACGGAAAAATCTGACATGAAAATGGGTTAAAATTTTGACCCTCCCACATAAGAACACTTTTAATGTATATCATTAGACAATTTAAATACAAACTCATAGAGGTATCCCACGTCTAAATCGGGATCCAATAACTCAAGTTATGAAATCTAGAAGTTCAGTTTTGGGATCCCATTCTGAAACCCATTTGAAATACGGAAAAATCGAACATGAAAATGGGTTTAAATCTTGACCCTCGTATATATGAACACTTTTAATGTATATCATTAGAGAATTTAAATACAAAATCAGAAAGGTATCCCACGTCTAAATCGGGATCCAATAACTCAAGTTATGGAATCTAGAAGTTCAGTTTTGGGATCCCATTCTGAAACGGGGATTACGGGAATGGGTTTGAAGTTCTATAGAAAATTAGGAATATCTATTTTAGACATAACTCTAATGTTTTTGGTTCTTCCATTTAAATTAACAAAGTTGTCTGCCCTCAAATGCAGCCCCTATTTTTCCTGATTAAAAGACAAATGGTTTCGTTTGTTTGCGAGTTTATTTCAGTTTCATTGCGAGTGTCCATCTGTTATCCTCCGGTGTTGGTCATCCTTCCGGGAACCTACTTCTTCAGTAGAAGAGGGGCGGAGTAGGCAGCGGCATAGGGAGCAGTGTAGGCAGCGTACGGAGCGGCGTAGGAGGCGGTGTAGGCGGCGGTGTAGGGGGCAGCCACATAGGGAGATGCCACGTAGGGAGATGCCACGTAGGGAGACGCCACGTAGGGGGAGGCCACGTAGGGGGCGGAGTAGGCCAGAGGAGCCACGATTCCGGGCTTGGCGGCGGCGCAGGCAAACAGAGCGAAGATAACGGCGGCGACGAACTTGAACATCTTGGGAGGATTGGTTTTTTGGTATTACTTGTCGGGTTGAACAAATGCAACTGATGTCTAAAACAGTCCAGAGTCGGGGTTTTTATAGCCCCACAGTCGAATGCCCAGCGACCTTGCAAGGTCTCCGGCCGAAAACTAAATTATGTTGTTCAGGCCAGTCACGTACTTAACCACTATACGCAGTTGGCTTCAGCGAACGCATTTAGGTACGAGTGCGAGTACTTTGGCTAATTAAATGGTGGGCCAAGAAATGTATTACTACTAAGCTTAAGTGCCAAGGCTAATTGTGGGTGGTCTGGTCGGGTATAAAACGGCGTGTTCATCCAGCAGTTGTCATCAGTTTCATTTGAAAGCAAATCAAAACAACCCAATCCTCCAAGATGTTCAAGTTCTTCGCCGTCGCCCTCTTCGCCCTGATTGCCTGCGTGGCTGGCAAGCCCGGAATCGTGGCTCCTTTGGCCTATTCCGCTCCTCTGGTGGCTGCTGCTCCGGCGGCTGCTGTCTACAGCCGGGAATACCACGGAAACTTCGCGGCTCCCTACGTGGCATCTCCCTATGTGGCTTCTCCTTACGTGGCATCTCCCTACGTGGCATCTCCCTATGTGGCATCTCCCTATGTGGCATCTCCCTACGTCGCTGCTTCCTACAGCGCTCCCCTTCTGCTGAAGAAGTAGGATGGACCACCACGGCATTACTTGACCTGATAGTATATCACCATCGAAACAGAAAATAATAAAACAGTTATAAAAAACGATACAAAGCTTTGAAGTTTCATATGCCATTTTTATTGCAGAAAACTCAAAAGAATACCTTAAACTAATTTATTAAGGTCTACTCTATTTAAAAATGTGCCTATTGGTTTGACAATCAGTACAACTCAGTTAAACTAACTTGTATTGCAAAAGGTTTGGTTATCGAGATAAAAATATTACAATTTTTAAAAATAATATAAGTCAACTGTAATAACAGCAATTTATGTTATCTGAACTTAATGGCATGCAGGAAGTCAGAAATCTGAGTGCAAGGTCGCTTCAGATAAACCTACAAGTATTTCTCTTCTTCCTCGACTGACACCTTATCAATTTCTTTTCCGCATTTCCTTGTGTGTAAACAAAAATCAGTACTTTGCTCAGAATTTAAACAAATAACGTTTATTTAAAGATCTTTGGAAGCAAAAACTTAATTCTACTTGTTTTATTTACTATTTTGGTGTTAAAATTAGAATTGTTCGCTTAAAGAGTTTAATTAACGACCTAAGATACATATTTGTATAACTTTTTCCTTTTTCACTTACTAACAACTTGTGGAAAGTCTTTGATTGCTGCAAAATAATATAGACATTAAAATATTATAAATGTAATTTTGTTTTATAATTTGTATTACATAAGATAGAAAAAAATTCCTTAGAGTCTTTCTGGACTACTGAGAATCTGCACTACCCAGGGTAAGATTAGCATCCATTGTGGCATTCGAGCGGAAGACAATGCTGCTTCGATCGTATCGACCGGATCGACGATTCTTCAGATACCGGAGGGCTATCAGCGCCACCAGACCCACCAGAACTAGACTGCCCAAAACATAGGCAAAGGCCTGCATAAAAACCAGATGAAGACCCAGATTCTCCGAATGAGATGATACTATCTCCAACTGCTTCGACAAGATTCGGATCTGAGATTCGAGGCGGGATTCCTCGGCGATGAAAGAGATATTGACGTCCAGTTGAGATCGGCTGATGCAGGAAACGTCTCGGATGTGTGGGGTCTCCTCCAGATTGGAGTCCGGTTCGATATTCAGCACCACGGATTCGGGCAGCGAGGGCGGAATTAGTAGGTGGTGCAGATAGGAGCAATTGAAGCGGTTTCTTGAAACTCCCAGTTTCATAAGTTGGGGGAAAGCATCGGAAAACGTGCGATTTCCCTGCAGCTCACGCAGTCCGTTCCCATCTATCAGGAACTTTTTCAGATTGGTCAGATACGGCACAAACACATCCAGATTGAGGCTGGTCAGGTTGTTGAACGATAGATCCAGTTCCTCCAAGAATTTCTGCTTCGAAAACATTCCGAATTTGAGCTCTCGAATGCCAGTTCCACGCAGATTTAATCCCCTAAGTCTGTTGAGTTGCGAAAAAGTGCTGATGTTGAGTTGACCTATGGGATTTTCGGAGACATCCAAATAAAGCAAATAGGTTATATTTGTGATGTTCGATATGCTAGTCAATTTATTGGCACTCAAATCCAATGTTTCGATATGCAAACTTTGGTGCAGAAAGAGCTGCGAAATTTCATTGTGACTGGCGCGAACAAATCGCGTTGCATTGATGGTCAAATTGGTCAGCTTGTTATTATCCAAGTGCAGCTGATGCACAATGTTTTTCTCCGTCAGTTGGAAGTTCTGCAGCTCGTTGTAGGACAACACCAGATTCTCCAGGCTCGCAGCATCGGCAAAAGTATCCGGATGGATAAAAACCAACCGATTATTGGATAGATTCACCTCCTTGATACGCCGCATGTTGCGAAAGACCTCCGGTTGAATGCTGGTCAGCAGGTTTCCCTCGAAGGACACCTTCTCCAAGTACTCATTGTCCTTGAAAATATCACTGTGCAGCTCCTTCAACAGATTGCCCGTTAGAAAAATCTGGCTAATGGTCTGCAGGCCACAGAAAGCATTCACACTCAGCGAAGATATTTCATTATAGGACAGATCCAAACGCATAAGGACATTGGCTCCAATAAACACAGATGTCTGGATGGAGGTCAGGTTGTTATAGGCCAGATTCAGATAGGTCAGATTGCTGGCCGCACTAAAGGCATTTCTGGTTAGCTCCAATATATTTGTATTCGAGACGTCCAGGGTCTTGAGATAGGGAAACGTTTCGAAGAGGTGGAAGGGCATATAAAGCAGCGTTGATTCGTAGAACTTCATGAACTTGACCATGTTGCCGGGTGGTATATGTTTGAACACGATATTCTGACTGTGGGTGACCATGAATCCGGTGACCGTGCAAAAGGCCTCGTTCACGTCCATAAATCCCATGGAATCGTACTCGTCGCATCGCAATGGTATATCTCCACCGTTGGCACTACTTTCTCTTATCGTTAGAGTAAGGATGAGGATCGTAACGAGTATCCTGCGCGTTTTATTCATCTTTTTCACGAACCGCTCGCCGTCAATCGACATTGTAAACTGCAGCAGTGCAAATTCGCAGAATGCACTCCAGCTTCCACTCAATGGATATAATACATATTTGCATTTACATATATGCCTTTACATGACTTTATCTAGCTCCCTAAAAGATTGTCAGGCTTTCAGTAGTCCAGCGCTGAGATGATAAAAATTGTCGGTCTGCACTTTGTTTTGTTTGGTTTACGTATATACTCTTAAAAGTATAAGGGATATATGGAGTTTATAAGGAAATCAGATGCTCTTAAAAATTTAAAAATTTTTAAGGGATTCAAATTTATATTTTAAACATAAGACAGAGAAAATGAGGGAAAGAAACAAAGAGGCTGTTGACCTACTTAAAAAGTTATACGGGTTTTTATGCATAAATGATTTAAAAATTAATTTTAAATTTTGAGTACCGTAGATAGAACGTTTTTTGATAATCATGACTTAATAACAGACGTATTTCATTTATTAAAATAGAGAAAGCCACCAGAAATATAATTAATTGATGGCATATCTGCTTGTTTATCATCATCCCAAGTCAATTCCTCTTTTAAACCCTCTATCTGTCTGGCTTCTTTTTTCCACCCGAGATAAACCATTGTGAATGGTTGGTAAGTTGAGCTTGACTCTTATTAAGAACTGTCTGCTAACTATAGAACCACTGATAGCATTCGCCCCCTCGAAATCGAATCTCTCCCTCCAGTTTGTTGAACTTTCGATAGGGGAATGCGCGCGTAACTTTGGTTTTGGCCAGTGGGCGAGATGGATCCGTTGCATCAGTAGAGCAGATTAGATTTTGGCAACCGAGGATCTGGTCATCCATTGCATAAAGTCGATTGCATTCGTGGGAGATACACATATATGTAACCCTGAAACATTCGCAATCGGATTGAGGCATGCAATTTCATTGATTCCTGGCCAACTCTTGGCACAAGAGGTTACTCATCGACAATTAGCCGTGTCTGGTGGCATCAATCACATCGGTTAGCTACTGGTTACCTTCGCGGCGACAACTTTTATGGGCCCACAATGCGGACGTGCCCGAAATATTGGATGGATTACGATTCGGATTCGGTTTCGGTTTCGGATTGGGATTTGGATTCGGTTTCAGATCGACCTCCCTGGGGCGGCGGGCACGTAGCCAAACGGCAAATTGAGCCACTCAAAGGCCGCTCTGCATTCCCATGCAGGTGGTATAGAATCATTCGCCCGATTATCGTGTGTGCCCAGAAATTCAAGCATCCCCCCGAGTTCCATTTCCATGGACTATAAAAGTTGCAGCTCCAAGCGAATCAAGGCATAGTCCAATTTGCTAGCTCAAATCAAACTAATCCAACAACATGTTCAAGCTGGTGGGTTGATATATTCTACATCCTGATCTCTGGAGAGGATTTAACTGGTTATTTTCTTGCAGTCCACCCTCGTTGTCCTGTGCGCCCTGGTGGCCTCCGCCGTGGCTGAGCCCAAGCCAGCTATCCTGGCCGCCGCCCCTGTGGTTGCTGCTCCGGCTGGAGTCGTCACCGCCACCAGTTCCCAGTACGTGGCTCGCAACTTCAACGGCGTGGCTGCTGCTCCAGTTGTTGCTGCCGCTTATACCGCTCCCGTTGCCGCCGCCTACACCGCTCCAGTCGCCGCTGCCTATACCGCTCCGGTTGCTGCCGCTTATACCGCCCCCGTGGCCGCCGCCTACTCCGCTTATCCCTATGCCGCCTACCCATACACCGCTGGTTACACCACTGTTTTGTAAGGGGGATAAGCCAGGACTCAAAATGGATTCGAAACGGACTAAAAATACACTCGGCTGGAAATAAAACGAAATCCAACTAAAGCTTAAAACTATTTTTCTTGGAAAAGGGCTTGGGTTGTGGGCTTTGGTTTCTTTTAATCCTGGATTTTCTGCTGCGGCCCAACTATCCAAAAATGATATAAATAGATTTGTGATCAGTACGTTTTTATTAATTAACTATAAAGCCTTTAAAATTTACCTTTAAAAGGTTTCAGAAAATGTATCATCATATAAATAGGTTACAACTTAAAAAAAGATATCTTAACTATTTTAATTTGTTACCTATGATTTCAGAGGATATGTTATTGCTTTTTAAAAATGTAACCCCAATTAACATATTTTTACAAGCTTTGCGTCTAAGAATTATATTAATCCAGATTACTTCTTTTTAATTTCATAAATTCAAATTTTTTTCCAGGGTTAATAGGAATTTTTAAGTAATATTTCTTAGTACAAAGCGTTCCTTTAAAGTAGCACAAAATAAAAACCTTTTTAAGACCTTCAAAATGTTCTTGTTGCTTGCTGATGTATTTCTTATTTTCAGCCCACTCTTAATTTCAGCCTATTCTGTCCTCTGAATATCCGGAAATATACTCAACAAATGCCAGACGAGTTGCGTCATAATCCCTTGACAAAACAAAAATAACAAAGGCGATAGATATTTCAAAATATATATCTTCATAGTATCTCTCGTAGGAGAATCACGTGTTGGCCATTTAAAAGGTGCCGGCTGAAAGTTGCGTCAAGCATGACTAAATAATTATGCATAACGTATCTAAAAATATATATTTCATTCAATAACAAATGAGTAACAGTAACAGGCAATTCAATTCAACAGGAAGGACAACAGTGTCCTTTGGCCAGTTTCTGGTGGGGATGGGCACTCAGGCAGCGACTATCTGGACGGGAATGGAGGCGCTGAAGCGTCCGAATGGCAGCCACGCAGCTGGGTAGTACAAAGGATAACTCGGTGGCGGAGCAGAGCCCACAGGTGGTGGTGGACCCAGTGGTGGACCCAGTGGCTGTGTTGGAGCAGCAGCTCCAGCTGCCTGGGGCGAAGGTGGTGCAGCCCGGTGGGCAGGCGGCACATCGATCTCCTCGGCAGCATCCTGGATCTGACCCCCGGCTGCCAGGTGGATCAGCAGGAGGAGGAGCACCACCTGAAATGGCCACCGATGGCGAGGCCTCGTCATCTTTGAGCAAGTGCATCGACTTCTCCGCGGAGAACCGCTTGAGACTTACTAGTTTCCTGTACATAGCCAGTCCAAGCTGATAAGATCTGATGGCTCAACGTTCTGAAAACGAAATAAACATGTTTGAGCCTACAGAACCCAGCTTTATAATTTTCTGAGCCGAACCCGGCAGTTTTTGTGGGTCACTTCAAGACCCACCGATCGATGGATCGATATCAATATCCAGGCATATTTCGCATGCAAATCATGCCCTCGCATTCGATTTGTTTTTCGCTTTTCGTCACGCTTTTAAAAATACCTAAATGAAACCAAAAGTGCAAAGCCATAATGCTCAAGATTCTCCTTGGCTGGCTTTAAAATGGACTTGGAACCGATCTGAGAATAGCTTGTGAATACCAATGGCCATTGGCATCACCTTCGCTGCTTTGAGGCTTGGAATTTTCTCGACCGATTCTGCTATATATACCCGAGTGCCGGGAGTCTAGGAGATATCAGTCTAGTACTTGAGAACCAACCGTTCACAACAAACCAACCAAATCAACATGTTCAAATACGTAAGGAATAAAAGGATTACTGGATCTATTCGGCGAACGAAGGATTACTAACAGAGGTTTTTCCCATACTTACAGTTCGCCCTGTGCCTGTTCGCCATCGTGGCCTGTGTGGCTGCCAAGCCGGCGGTGATCGCTGCCCCACTGGCCTACAGCGCCTACTCCTCCCCCTATGTGGCCGCATCTCCTTACTCCGCTGCTTACACCGCCGCTTACACCGCTCCAGTGGCCGCCGCCTACTCCGCCTATCCCTATGCCTCCGCCTACTCCGCCTACTCTGCCTACCCCTATGCCGCCTACTACCGTTAAGATTGGAAGGATCAAGGATACCCAAAACCCTGACTACTGAACTGGACCCGAAAAGATATACCTATTACAACATGGATACTTCCCTGCTAACCATCTAGATACTCCATTACCGTGCTATCCAACCACTTATCTACATCCCTGGTATTAGTTTGGCAGACTCTATATCTTCCCACCTCTGCCGACTGCTGAAAGTTAAGTCATGGGAACAGGACATACAAGTATAAACGGAATATTATTGTTGAAATAAATACTGCATTTTGCGTGAAACGTAAACTACCTTTGGTTTATTCTTTTATTACTACTTGGACTTTAAAATGGGCTTATATATATTTATAAGCACATACTTTTAGGCTGTATTCAATTGTAATAAATGAATACAATATTCGTTTGTAATAAAGTACTCGAAGATAGCTATTTGTATTTTGGTTAGGAATAACTTAAAACAGAAAAAAAATATTTAAACTTCACATTTTTGATAAATTATCCACCAATTAGTTGATATAATATAGGTATGCGTGACGTGATTGTTGAATCTGTATATTACAGTTTGTTATTTTCAGAAATCGTATTATTTTAACCAGGACTAAAACCACATATGAAAAATATTGTTTGTTTTATCATAAATGCTTCTTATAAAGTGCTGCTTGAGTAAGATTGTTATTTTCAAAATATACCCTATTAAGTTACCGACCTCTTTAAAAAGTAGAAATAATTTTGTTTATTCCACCTACCATAACTTCAATCTTCTTAGTAGCTGTAAATGTATTATTTGTTCAATAAAAATAGATAATATGAAGGAAACTGCGTTCCTAGTGGTGATAGCCTTGTTTACATCGGGGCAAAAGGGTCAACTAGTCTGCAGGTTTATTGAACTCCCGAAGCCCTTGATCCAACGCCTACGATTCCCCGCTTCGAACGTCCTCCACCTTGAACCAAAGGGTTCAACTCGATGACGTCCTTCGGAACTGGATAAACCACTTCTATTTTTATTTGCATCTCTGATTAGAATGCAAAGCAGCGCGTTCAAGTGGCTGACAATTGAATCGCAAAGAGTGAGCCGAACTCCGGAGATGGCCAAGACCAAGACGGTTGAAATGACACGCACGTCTATAGTCCACAAAACGCACTGAGTGTTAAATTATGATAATTCAATCCGCAACGGGCAGCTGCCACTGACGCCAGTCGCGGAAATACTCGATTGGGGGGGAAATAAAAAACTATAGCACTTATTGAAAATAAATTCACCTGAAATGCGTACTATCAATCAGTAATCTGCAAACTTCAAGTGTGCTAGTAAAAATCCACCAAATTAGTGGCCCTGTTTTAGCCCTGGTACGTGATGGAAATGTTTTAAATTTTTTGGGTTTTATGCTCTTTATTGGGCTTTGGTCAAGGATGAAATGTATTTTTGACTATATAAACCACTTGAAACCCAAACCCAGACATCAATCAGAAGTCTAGCTTCGAAGTTAACACAACCCATCCCAGCAAAATGATGAAATTCGTAAGTTGAGAGATATTTTTGGCTTAAGGATAAGAGAAAATCTCTGATTATCAAAAGAAATTTAGAATCTAGTTACATTTATAATAAAATCTGTACTATTTTCGGTTGTAATTTATATTAATGTATATTAATATCTAATATTATTATCCTGCAGTTCGCCGTTGTCCTGTGCGCTCTGTTCGCCGCCGCTGCTGCCAGTCCCGGTCTGTTGGCCTACAACGCCCCCCTGGCCTACTCCACGCCCCTGGCCTACAGCGCTGTGCCAGCTGCCGCCCCCCTCGCCTACACCGCCGCCTACACCTCTGCCTATGCCCCCTATGTCGCCCCCTATGCCAGCAGCTACAGTGCCCACAGTGTGGCCCACAGTGCCGCCCTGCCAGCCGTTTATGCCGCCGCCCCTGTGGCCACCATCCTGAAGAAGTAAGCTGTCCCAGGATGCCAAAGGGATACTGCAAAAGTGCCGCACGTGTTCACCAGACATCGTCACTGTCGCAGAGACAGCTACAGCCACAGATACAGATACAAACGGAGATGGAGATACACGCTCGGAGGCAAATACAAATAAAAAACGCAATGCATCAGGCCCACGCACTGACCAACTGAGAACTGAAACGAGTTTTATTCTTTCCGTTTTAAATTAATCTTGCAGTGGGCAGTGGGAAACGAGCTAAAAGGAAACTATCTAAAACAGTTTATTCTTGGGAACTTTAACTTCAGATGTATTCACTATTTTAAGAATACATAGAAAGGATTACCCGATATAAGAATATTCAGAGCATTACTTTTGCAACTTAAACACGGCCTTTAATCTTAAACTAAAAAGGTATCTTGAGATGATATTTTGCTCTATATTACATAGTGTTTTGGGCTTATAATATTTTTTTTATTTCAAATTTTAGGCAAGTGTCATAAAAGAAACTCTTCCCACTTCAATAATATTTTGATTCAGTGAAATTAACTTTAATAACTCAGATTTTTATATTTACTAGATAAAAATAGTTTAATTAGTTTGTTAATATATGAATAGTACATTTTGCTATTATTGTTTTGGAAAACTATTGCCCAAGAAATAACCCTTTAGACCTTTATCTCTTTAAAATTGTTTCCCATATGACGGAGTGTCCTCAAAGGGTGTTTTCAACTCATGCCCAGCCGTGTGTTTACTATGTTCCGGTTCATCGACATTTGCCACGTTCCTCGCCGTAATCCTTGAGCTTTGTTTTCGCAGTCCTAACCCGTTCATCACTCTGGCCCTTCATAGGTTATAGAGTAAGGTTACCCCGCGGCATTGTTTATCATTTTTATTGCAAGTTGCGTGTGCACAGGCTCAGAGGTCATTGGTTGGCACTGTCACTCCCAATATGGCAGTGACTCAATTAAAAGGCGCCGCTTAAATTGCATTTTGTTAATCACAATCGATCAACAAGTTAAACGAAGCCACGCCTCGTAAACTTTAACATTAATCATACGCCGCGTGCAACCGCGTCGAAAAGTATGAAAATCAAATCAAGAAAACGAACGCCATTTGACTTAAACTAAATTTTGCAAATTAATTCAAGTCTTTGAGTCGCTGATTTGGAATTCACTTCGATGTTTTCAACGCCTTTGTGTCACGCCCCCATGGAAATACAACTCCCACCTGCACGTGTTGTTGCACTTCTTGTAGCTAATTTACTTGTTGGCGGCTGCAGTGGGAAAATTAAATTAAATTTTAACGCTGCCTTTTGTCTCGATGGTCACGCCCCATTTATAAGGTGGCCCCCCTCGATTTATAATTGCCGAAGCCCCAGAAATTGCACTTAAACGATCCGTTTCCCAGGCTGCAGTTGGGTACTGTAGAAAACTTTTAATGGTGATGGGGTATTTGGGCTAATAAAAAGGTAATTGCTTTATAAACTTTAAGTTTACATTTCGGGCTATAATTAAACATCATAATAAAATGTTAATTATTATTAAAATATAGAGAAATATTTAGTACTTCCATGGTAATTATTATAATAAATGGTATATCTTAACTCTAAATATTACTTTTAAGTTATATTTAAACATCCTAATTTTAAAATCTACAAAAATGGTCATTAGTCACAGAGATGTATTCTATCCCTATTCATTAAAGTTTCTTCTTTTTCCCCATATAATTAAATTTGCTTATCTGCTGTTTGCTCATCCAAATTGAATACGAGTTCCCACCTACCTGCAATTAGCTCTACGCATATCCACTTTACAAACAAGCAGACTTCTAGACCCATATGCTATAATTACCCCCCGCTGTTTACCGTCTGCTCCCAAGCGATTACAACAATCTTGTCTAATTGACAGTTGTACACTGTCATTCGAGAGCATTGAAACGATAATGGCGAGTCTACGGCGATTAGAACGCGCTGCGATCAATTTGCGGAGACATCAATAAAAACAAACCCGATCCAAAAGCGCTCGCATTTCAACTCGAGTGCCCAATAAATTGCATTTTGATTTAATCGCCGTGTTGCACAAGTGCCACCAAATTAATTGCCTGCGATTTTTCGCACTGTGTAGATATCAGCAAGGCACCAACGGCGAGTCGAACGAGCCGGATCTCAGGAGGCTCTTAATTGAAATGCTTGGCCAGTTTGATTTACGGCCCAAAAGCGCGAATCGGGCGGAGAACTTCGGCTAGTCCAGTCGCCCACTCGGCCTATGCGTATGCAAATCCCCTTCGAGTTACGCATTTTGAATCCGAATCCCCTTCTACTCCCCTTTCTAGCCAACTTGTTATTGTCACAGGCTTTTGCCTTTCCATTTACCCGCAGGCTTTTTCTGGACGAGGCTAAGCCTTCTCATTAACCCTTTAGTAACCATTGTAGCCTTTTATAAAAAAAAATTTCTTAAAAATTTTACATCTTATAAAAATGGTTCATCTTTAGATACCTCATCAGAAATTCAGATCCCGAATAGTTTCCCTAAAAACATATCCTTAAAAGCTTACAGAGAGAAATATTCAAGTTCATTGTTCTTGAATTGAGAACATTCGCTCTTAAAAACCGTTTAATTACATTTTTGTATCAATGCTCCCAATATTATAACGAAATTGTGAGAGGAGAAAAGTTAAATTAAGTTCATTTAACAACTTTTTTAAGGGTTTACACTACTGACTGGACTAACAATTTAGTTGGTGAGATATACAATGTAAATAACGACAGTTCATTTTGATTCAAGCTCAATAAAAACACTTTCAACTTCAAAAATGTAGTTAATTTCTAAGCACATTTTCAACTCAGATGAGATCGTCGCAATTCTCTCTGTGTACATAAATAGTATTTTCATAAGCTTTATAAAACATATATCCCCTAGAAAGCTTTATTATATTATGTACTTTTAATTTCCTCGATTAATTTTTTTTATTGTCTTGGGAATTTATTAACGTTATGTGCATGTGGGTACCCAACATTTTTGAAGTTACCCATAAAGTGTTAAGTCCTCGTATGTTTTTATGGGTCTGACTATCTATCGCCTGCAGGGCGGGGATTTCAACAAGTGCTGGAGTGAGCCCCCTCACAGACCCCTTTATAAACCCCCTGCGAGCCCCGCCCCTTTCATAAGTGTTAAGTGCTTTGGGCTTGCGTAAAGCGCTGTCTCAAAATTATGCATAGAGTGGGTCGCTGGCAATTAACTGGCAGCCGCAGTTCCTTCGGCATTGTTGCTGCTGTCGCATGAATTATGGGTGCACCAGTTCATAAGTTAGCTCCGCCAGGGGCGTAGCTTGGCCCAGGATCCCCTCCCGCTCCACAAAGAACGACCTTGCCCACGCCCCTGCCTGCGATCACTTATTGTTCTAAACGCACATGTGCTCGAGCCTCGAATGCTTTTTGCTCCACATAAAAACGATTTCGAGGCGGATCTGGTTTTGCCTCGGTTTTACGCACAGGTGTGTAACTGCCACGCCCCATTCATTGCCGGCCTGTGTTGTAATTAAGACTTTTTGGCTCTGAATGCTCGAGCATTTACTGCGAAAATTTCTACCAGCAAAATAGCCGCACGCATTCGCAACGGCTCATTTAAATTATTTTAAACGGCGGATTCAGCGAAACTTGTTGGCTGCAGGAAAATAAATGCATAAAAGAACCAAAAAAAAGCAAGATACAAAATGCAATTTAAGTTTTTCTCACACACACCTTGTCGCGGCGTCGGCTTAAGGTAAATAGACCAAAAACAAATTTATCAGAAATTATTCAAAATCAAAACAAAAATTGGGTGCCCTGTGATCGATGTGGGAATACCCTTTGACTGTGATTTTAATATGGCGTATCATTGAAAACCGCAACCTTAAAATGTTGTTTAGTTAAATAAAATAACTAACTATTGTTATTTACTTAATAATTAGTTTTTAAAATTACTGTGACTCTCTGAAGAATTCGATGAATATTAAGTAGTTCTATGCTACAGTTTGTATGAGGAATAACATACGGATTTATTATACTATATATTACTAGGTGCTTACTCATTAAAGAAATCAAACGGGCTTTTAAATTAATTATAAACGCGCCTATAAGTATGCCACAATATATTCTAAAGAGTCCCAAGGACCAACTGAGATAGGAAATCACAAGGGTTTTAAATTATCTATAAAGGTGTCTTAAAGTATGCAATAATACATTTTGAACCAGAAGATACATGGGTTTAATCTAAAAGATTATTGTCTTAGCTCACTGCATACTTTTAGACACCTTTATAAATACAATCCGTTAATTGTTTTCGATGGGATCCCATTACTAAGCACTTGGGACTGTGACTTACTTTTGTATATTTATTTTTGGTTTGGCTTACTGGTGAGATACCATATTTGGTGGTATTCATCCCTGCCTTGAATGTTGTCCCCTTCTAAGTGTTGCAACACCCTGCGAAAGGGTATGGCCAATCTCAGGCCAGGCAAACATCCGCGTTGTCTGGGGCGGGGCAAGGCGGTTCTCCGGTGGGTCCCAGGTCTCTATCGCCATCTCGATACTCGACAGGCCAGCTTTGCATGCTGCTCTCTTGGACTCGGTTTTGGGCCGGGTCTCTCCATTGAACAAAAGTAAAAGTCTCTGGGGCACCCAGCTTGGATCCGTTCTCGTGCAACATTTTGGCCAGGTCTTTGGGCTATAAAAGCATTTGTGCCTTAGACAGCGGCATTATTCAGCTTTGTGTTCTTGCCACGAGTTCAACTTGCACTAAAAACCAAAATGTTCAAATACGTAAGTTATATAGAAGTTCTTTTAAATTATATTTCATTATTAATATATTTTTTCGATTATATAGTTTGTTTTTGCCGCTTTCTGCCTGGCCAGCGCTGCTGCCGCTCCGGGATATTTGGGAGGACTAGCTTCTCCGGCCTTGCCACTGGCTGCAGCTCCGGCTATTTCCTATGGACATGCTCTGGCTGGTCCTTCCATCGCCTCCTATGGACTGGCCCCCAGGCTTAGTTATGCCTCCCCGGCCTTGGCGCATGGTCCTCTGGCTGGTCCCGCCATTTCGACCTACGGATTGGGACTGAGTCATGGTCACCTTGGCCTGGCTCACGGTTCCCTGGGCCTGGCTTCTGCTCCTCTGGGTCTGGCTCATGGTTCTTTGGGACTGGCTCATGCTCCTCTGGCTGCTCCCTTGGGACTGGGCTACAAGTCGGCCTACCCAGCTCTGGCTGCTCCTGGCTACGGACTGGCCCATGGCTGGTAAGGATAGTCCGTCCCATACAACATCGTTTTCTGCATTGCTTTCGTTTCGTTTGGATCGGAGAGAGGTGAAGGAGAATACACAGAGAAAGTGAGAGAAAAAGAGAGGATACAGCGGAGATTTGTAAAATTAAATCAAGTTCTCAAAAATCGGATTGTGAAAAATGGGTTTGATGTTGAAATATATTTCGTTTGAATTTATAAAAATCAATCACTTGTTTTTTGAAAAGCACAGGTTAATTAAATAATGGGTTTCAAGGATATCTGAAAGAAAATCTTTACTGGTATCTTACAAAGCTTAAGAAGCTTTCTTTAAATATTTCAAATGTTTTACTATTGTACTATGTGGTTCTTTATAGTTTTGGTAATTATAAAAATTCTGATGGTTAATTTGGTTAATAATGTTAGTAATGTTTTCTACCAAAAAAAAGTTAAAAAATATATTTGTTGAAAATCTTTAAAAAAAGATTGTATATACTTCAAATTTGCCTTGAAATCCATAATTAATACACTTTTTTTTGTACATTGTTGCTTTGTCTTTATTGGTTTATTGACTTGCTGAGTGATTGACTGATTAAGGCTATCGTAATGATTTGGGTACTGCGAAGTAAATGACTCGTTTGAAAACTCTCACATGTTGCACGCTTTCCTTGGCTACACACTTTGATTGACTTTGCTGGACTCGGGAGCACTTCTTCTACCAACCATGGCCATAGCCATATCCCAGTCCGTATCCCAGACCCAGACCATGTCCACCGTACAGTCCATGTCCGTAGCCTCCGAGGTACCCGTGACCCAGACCATAACCATAGCCGCCCAGGTAGCTCTTGCCAATGATTGTCTTTGAGATGATGGGTGCGTGGTAGCCCAACCCTATTCCTCCAAAGTGTCCACCATAGCCGCCGTAGTGACCCCCATAGTGACCTCCATAGTGCCCAATTCCTAGACCTAATCCCAGGCCATATCCACCGTAGCCATGTCCAATTCCGTATCCAATGCTGGGCGAAGGAGCTGGAGCTGGAGCTGGTTCTGGAGCGGGTTCAGGTGCAGGAGCTGCCAGGATGGAGGTTGTCAGGCAGGCGATGGTCACAAGTATCAGCTGAAAATAAATTACAAAAAAATTATTTTCTCAGTTAAATTACAGTTCTGATGATATAATATCAAGGGGATAACATAATAGTATTGTGAAGGATTTTACTTTCGTTTAAGGAAAATTAATTTTTCATATCTGAAGATATAGTATCTTTTATATATCCTTGTGCTACTCACTTCTTTATACATCTTGCTGTAGTTTATTTTCCGGCAGCTGCTGGGGAGGCTGAACCACTAGTGTTGCTGCAGTTGATCCCAACGCGGCTCTTTTATACCAATCCCCAGTGCAGCGGATTCAATCCCCAGATGGACATCGATGATCTAATGAACAGTGCAACGAAGTACTTTAATTCGCTGGACAAGTTGCCCAAGTTAGCGACGTGCCACAAAACCATCCTTAGCTGCTGCAAATAAAAGCAAATTCCAACACCTGTTTTTCGCCTTTTGGGCTTCCATTGTATAATCGGAAATCGAGTTTGGCATTTACCACAACCACAATGGATCCAGTTCCAGTTCTTTGTTTGGCCTGTGGGCAGTTTAAATCTAGTGGGTGGCCTTTTCCATCGGTTTATTTATTAGATTAAATGTAGGGTCAATGGGCTCTAGATGTTTGGAATGACAAACTTTTTCCGTATTTTTTATCCTACGAAGATCTTTCTCGAGAGATTAGGTTAGAAAATACAAAGATAAACTATTTAAAACAGGTTTAAGAAAATATATTAGCTCGTATTATTTATTGTTTGGCATAATATGTATTTAGTTACCTTAATCAAGACCAAATGGCACGTTAACTAATCTAAGTATCTATGTTAATCTTTAGTAAGAAAACACTTAAACCAACTTCTATTTAGGGTATGCCCCAGTATAAAACGACGATTATAACAGCATAAGCATAAAAAGCCGAATAAAGTCAAACTAATTAATTCTCAACACCTCCGAAACCAAGATAAAATAGCACGAAAAACACAAGATTGGCCATGATTAAATTTATAAAAATACCATAAAACGGGGAAACAAAGGCAAAACCGAAGACGTGCGACCAACTAACTCACAACCTATAGACAAACAAAAAGCTTAGAAATGTAAGACAACAAAGCCAACGACTGGGCATAATTAAGTGCACAAAAGAGTCAGTGACTCTTTGACAATCTTCGGCGTAGACGCTTTAAACTTGAACTTGAAAACGGGTTTATCGAAGAGAAGGGGACAAAAGGCCAAGTGGAGTAGTGCTCCCACTATATGGATGTTGCAACAGGTTCCCGGTGGCGAAGGAAATGCAGTTGGGTATTTCAGGGGATTGTCAACCGGTTCCTAACTGTTTAAAAGAGGAATGAAAATCCAGCGATGAAGACGAGCCTATAAATTGATTGGCCTTCGGATGATTTCAGCTTAGTCCAAGTGCAGTTCCAGCCAGAATATCACCAGAGAATGCTCAAGGTGAGCAGGGTAGATTCTCAGTTCCCTTTGGAAATCTTATCTCTCATCTGTTTTGAAGGTTTTCGTGTTTTTCGCCCTTCTGAGTGGGGTCCTAACCGCCACGGTCATTTACCATCACCCTGTGGTCTATCATCATCCTCTGCCGGTTCCCAGTTCCACACACCAGAAGTTGGATCAACATCCTGGCTACACCATTGTGGCACCCCTCACCAAGATTGCCCACGTCACCTATGATTCCGTGCCCATTTCACACACGCCCTACGAACATGTTCCACTCTTCCAGAGAATTGGTCATGTTAAGAACAAGAGGACTTAGCTAGGATTACTATATAAATATGTATTAAGATATCTCTTGTAGCTAGACCTCGAATTTAAAACTTGGTTTAATAAGTATCACTGGAAACCTAACGTTAAAATATGATTTAAAATGTTATCCGACATCTGCTTAAACACAATAAATAAAAAGTATTGTTAGAAAAGAGATTATGTTTTTGGGATAATGGGATGGAATACTAATTTGATTTTATAACAAGGAAGAACGCTATAGTCGAGTACCTCGACTATCAGATACCCGTTACTCAAAGGGAAATGGAGATATGCAAGCAGCAAAGCGAGATTAAAATGCGCCACCTACCGGCGGTAGACAGATTTAAGCGTTAAGGGCGTTAGAGTGGACGTGGAAAATTTATTTTTGGATCAATCGATAGGTATTGACGACACCAATACATTTAAGTTAAAATTTTTTATCAGCATGCAAATTGTGGGCGTCACAGGTTTTCGCGGTTTGTGGGCGTTTAAGTGGGCGTGGCAAACTTTTTTTAGGTCAATCGATAGGTATTGATGAGAACAATACATTTCAGTTAAAATTTTATATCTAGCGTCCAAACTGTAGGAGTTACAGTTTTGGGCGGTTTGTGGGCGTTAGAGTGGGCGTGGCAGTCTACTGAAACAAACTTGCGCTGCGTAAGAAGCTCAGGAATCTGTACGCCAAATCTCAATAGCCTAGCTCTCATAGTTTCCGAGATCTCAGCGTTCATCCGGACAGACGGACAGACGGACATGGCTAGATCGACTCGGCTAGTGATCCTGATCAAGAATATATATACTTTATGGGGTCGGAAACGCTTCCTTCTGCCTGTTACATACTTTCCGACGAATCTAATATACCCTTTTACTCTACGAGTAACGGGTATAAAAATATTCTAGAGCCCAAAATTAGAATATATCATAAAAATCATTTATATGAAATTTTACACCTATTAATGTAACTAATTATTTGATATATGGTTTTAGGAGGTATCTCCCAAGGTAGATATGATAGGAAATATCACCAAAAGCCATTCAATAAAAGTCTGGAAACAAATTGATTAATGATTTAGTTTTTTATTCGCCAAGCATTGTTGCTCTCTAGGTATGAAGATTTGGGCTAAGTTCTACAAGCTAATAGGACGGATGGTACGGATGAATTGAGTAATCTTTTGGTTGAATCCTTAGAAGAAGTAGGGGGCGGGTGCGAACTTGGGGGCCACAGCCAGGGGCGCGGGCACTGGAGCGGCGAGGGGAGCGGCGAAGGGTCCGAATCCGAACTTGGCGGGGGCGGCGAAGGCCACAGGCGCCGGAGCAGGGGCGAATCCCAGGGGAGCAGGGGCAGCGAAGCCGAATCCAACCTTGGCCGGGGCAGCAAAGGCCACAGGAGCAGGGGCAGCAGCCACTGGCAGAGGAGCAGGAGCAGCAAAGGCCACTGGGGCAGGAGCAGCCACGGGAACGGGCAGGGGAGCGGGAACGGGAGCAGCGAATGCCACTGGAGCTGGAGCCACTGGGTAGGCCACGGCGTGGTTGATGCGGTGGGCATTGAAGCTGGAGGCATAGGGAGCCACCACACCGGCAGTGGCCACAGGAGCAGCCACGGGAGCAGCCAGAGGAGCAGCGAATGGAGTTCCCAGAGGAGCAGGAGCATGGAAGGGCAGGAGACCAGCCTGGGCGGAGGCCACGCAGAAGGCAACGAGCTGGAAATAAAAATATATTCCAAATATTTAGTATCCACTTTCATACATCCCGTAATCCTCTCCAGATCCTCCCCAACTCACCACAATCTTGGCGAACATTTTGCTTGGTTTTGGGGATGGGTTGGCTAGTTGTGATTAGCTTGAAGGCAGACTGAACTGTGATATCAAACTGTCCACTGGTTAACGCTTTTATAATTCTGTAGCCCACGGATTATCCGTGGTTAAGCATACGAAAATACCTTGGAAGACTTTCTATATACGGGCCTTATGAAGGGCGTTGCTGGATCGGTGCTAAACGTACTTAATAACCAATCGGTAGCCTCTTACGTCGATCGCCCCCGAAAACTTTCATAATTGCACGCATTTGCCGACCATAACCTAGGCCAATATTGGGCAAGATTTCGTTTTTTTTTCGGCTTTGTGAGTTTATGACAGTTTGGGTTTTCGGTTATTTCGCATTGGTGGGTGGTGCTACAAAATGAGCTGTAATTATTTGCCCAAAATACGTGTTACCCTCCCACCAACTGGCTAAATCATTTAATAGAATTACCACATTTTCGTACACCCGCTTTTTGTTTTTATTTTTACTTTTTTTATTGCACCAATTGTCGCGTGTTTGGGCCGGGTCTGTGTCTGGAATTTCTGATTGGATTTCATGTTGCGTGCAGTTGGAAATTCACCAGCCACATTTCAGTTCCTCGCAAGGCTGTGTGTGTGTTGCCAATAGTTCGTGTGTGTGAGTGTTAGCCGAATAGCTGAAACCCCATTTGGCGACATTACGAGGCGTCTGGTTCGTAATGAGAGTCTGAATCAGATATCGAGTAAGTATGTTTACTTTGGCTAATTTTTGGTGTGCCTATGATGTTATCTTCCGTGGTTCCATTCTTTTGGTTTTCTATTTTTGGTACTGATTGGTGACAATGTTTGGGTAACTTTCCGACATTGCTGGAATTCAAGGACCTCTATAATTAATGCCATTTTTTTGTTAGCCCCAAAGTTAAATACCAAAATTAATTTAAACATCAATTTATTGTACTATAATTATTCGATAAATTATTTCATAATGCAGGTAGCTAGATTTGATGACTCTTTGGTGAGGTTTCCATCATCCTTATATTTGCTCTTTCTAGAACAACGAGTGGTGATGGTGATGGGCCAACTTCAGGGGCAGGGCTTTCAGGTGGGCGTGGGGTGCGGCCAGCAGCTTGGGGAAGGCGTAGCCGATGGACACTCGGTGGGTGGTGGTTTTGGGTCCGGGGATGGCTCGATAGGTGGGTGCAAAGGGCACCGCCTCCAGGAGGGGTGGCAGCACTTGGTGTGTGACACTGGGCACATGGAACTCCGGAAGTGGAAGTGGTGCAGCAGCTGGCAGGAAAGCTGGTGAGGGTACGAGTGGTGCAGGAGCGGGGAAAAAGGATGCAGGAGCGGGTAAAAGTGGTGCAGGAGCGGGTAAAAGTGGCGCAGGAGCGGGTAATAGAGGAGCAGGAGCGGGTAAAAGGGGAGCAGGAGTGAATACTGGTGGTGCTGGTCCGTAAATAGGTGGTGCTTGTCCAAAAACGGGTGGTGCAGGACCATAAACGGGTGGTGGGGGAGCAAAGGCTGGTGGAGGAGCCACTGCAGGAAGCAGAGGAGCCGGCGGAGGAAGAACCGATTCCTGCACCGCATAATCCAGGTGGTGCGGCAGACCATGGAAGGATTCCAAGTGGTTCAAGTGATGACCATCAAAGTGGCCCACATGATGGGGATCAAAGTGGTTGAAGTGGTGGTTGTAGAGTTGGGAGGGCTTGGCCTCACCACCCACCAGGAGAAAAGCCAAGGCGAAGGTCTGAAAAATTAACAGATCTATTAATATACATCCTTGACGAATGGTTATCCTTAAATCCTCACCCATGTGAGTTGCCACATCTTGCTTGGGGGTTTGCTGTTCGTTTTCTTTGGGGGATTAGCTTCTCGATCGATGTGCTCGATCGGTTGGTTCGGCTGTCAATGTCTTCCAATTGTCAAATTCCATTAATATTTATAGCGAAATTGAGGCGGTCTTTAATCAAAAGACTTGCACTTGCATTTCTTCACTTTCGTCGTCGACTTAATAGGTGTCCGTTCGTTTTGAGGTGAGGTAACCCACTTTAGTCCGATTTAGTTGGTCAGCAAGTCGTGACTGCGACTGCGACTGCCTTCGAACGAGGGGCCAATAACTTCTTGGGCGATTCGAAAGCACGGCCCAAGATTATATAACATGGGGCCAAACCAAGCCCAGCCATTGACAGTTCCCCATAAGTGGAATATGATTATGATAACCCATAAATATTGCTTTGACCATAAATAACAATCGATATTGCGCCTTAGGTGACAACGCAATCACAACAAATGTTGTGTGTGCTTACATACTGTGTATGACTAACTTCTGCAGTTTGAACTTCCCTAAGTCCAAGTTATGTTGCCATTGAGAGTATTTTGTCTCCCCAATGGGAACAATCATAACATAAATCTCTTTAAAAATTTGACACTTATTTTTGAACAAAGTATCTATGCAGGCATTGTATAAGTCGTGTTTTCATGTGAAAATATATTCTTCTTTTTAAAAAAAAAGCGACACATAAAATTAGGTAATGAAAAAAATGAATTCTGCAGGCTGCAATTCTGAAGTTTCTTAAGCTTTTTAATTTTATTCATTATAAAATTACAGTAAGTCAATGGTAACAAGAATAGTTTTTGAAAAAAGAATAAAAAGTTTATAAAGCTCTATGTAATTTTAAAAAAAACATAAAAAAGACTAATCTATACTTTTAGATATTTTATAGCTTATTTGAGGCCTAGGAATCATATCCTAAGAAATCTTTTAAATCATCTTTCTAAAATTGTGTGGCACTCGAATTTTTCGTATCGTACCAATTTTTTATTAATATTGAGAGTTGAATTTTCCGTATTGTAAAACACCCTTAATTTATAACTTTGACTTTTAATAAGATATTCAAAATCGTATGGAAACTGCTTAAATTTTAAAAGAAATAAACATTGTTTCTGATATTTTTTTCGTAATTTAATCTCAAGTTTGTTTACAAAAATTGTCTATAGTTTGGCTTGGTTTATTGGTTGATCCTAGTCCTTAGACCACCACTGGAGCAGGGGCAGCAGCGGCGAAGGGAGCGGCGTAGGGAGCGGCGTAGGGGGCGGCGTAGGGGGATGCCAGGTAGGGGGCGGCATAGGGAGAGGCGTAGGGGTAGGCAGAGTAGGCGGCGGCGGCGTAGGGCGTGGCATAAGGAGCGGCCAGAGGGGCGGAGTAGGCGGCGGCGGCCAGAGGAGCAGCAGCGTACTTCGCCACCACGGCGGGGGCAGCTGGGACTCCGGACACATAGCGGCTGGAGTAGGGACCGGCGTACTCGAAGGGGGCGGTGGTGTAGGAGGACAGGGTGCCGTCGTAGTTGTTGCGGACATCCACCTGGCTGCTGCCACCGGCGGCGTACAGAGGAGCATTGGCGTAGGCCAGAGGAGCAGCCAGGGGGGCAGCCAGTGGGGCCACAACTCCTGGCTTGGCCGCGGAGCAGGCAACGAGGGCAGCGAGAACCAACTGGAAAATGGGAAAAAGTAATCATTAGTTGAAGTTTAATCCTTTTTGAGGTTGAGGTTAACTTACAAACTTGTACATATTGCTGTGGTTGGGTTTGTCTAAAGCTCTTGAGCGATAATGTTCATTTGGAGCCAGCTCAGTAGCTTATATAGCTCGTGCCCATATCCGTGCTCTTTGAGGGACATTCTGTCTGCGCCGATTTTTGGTCGCTTCTTTACCTGGCCAACCTGGGCGAGTGCCAAGTAGCATACATGATCGCCATTTGGCCAAGACGTGCTCCGCCTTCAATTGCCCAATGGATTGTCGGAAGTTGTTCAAGTTGTCGCTCGACTTTTTCGCCTCCACTTGGAGAAATTGTGTGTTTAGCAATAGAAATGTTGTACCAGGCAAACTAGCTAACGAACATAATCTAATTAGTCGCGGACTTTTACTAAGCGAGTAACTAAATAATTAAAATATATATAAAGTATTCAGAAAAGCCCAAAAGTGTCTTTTGAAACTATCTATTTTTAGATTAGGTAACTCCAATTTTGTATACCCAGTTATTTATATATTTATTTATATTTATATTCATTTGTTAAATCATAACTTCCTATAAAATATATAAAACCCTAGAAAAATACATAAAAGGAAGTACAATTTTTTAAGTATTTAAAAAACGTTATAAATTGCAGTGAAAATATTTCTATCCAACTCCTCCTTTTTTTCGAGTGCACTGATCGACATTGGTATGCAATTGAAGACTCCCTCGGTGGCCGGACTGTCTGAACGTAATTTGCAGTCCGTTTGGGCCATCAATATGCGCCGCCTTGCATTGAATTGGCCGCAATCTAAGCCAAATTGGCTATAAAATTCGATGCCCCCCCTCTAGGCCACGATTCCGCCCCACTAAATGTCTCATTAGTTCACTTTTTAATGGCTCGCAGAGGGGCCAATAAAAAGCGGTCGTAAATTTCCCTCTCATCCTTGCCGCCGGAGCTTCATTTGTTTTCGTGTTGACCTGACCTTGACGCCATCTGGCCACAGGATGAGATGTGGAGCTGCCTGCTCATCCACCGATGGGCCCAATCACTCCGAGGTGGCTTAATTGGCCCACGAGGTGAGGGGCCGGGTGATCGAGCGGTCGAAACCGGCTTGCGGACTTAATGAGCCATCGCAGCTCACTCGGTCACGTGCTGGCCTGGTCAGCAGCATCGTCGTCATCTGATGGCTGGTGAACCTGAGATTTGCACTGATGTGCTCTTCACAATGGGGGTACTTTTCCTTTCATATCGATGCAGCAATTATTTTATGACATAAAAGTCTCAAGGAAAAACATCCTTAAACAACATGACTCCTTTTAAATGCAGTATAAAAGGAGTCATGTTGTTTAAGGATGTACTCAAATTTTTATTTAACTTTTTTTGTGAAGTTTGCCACATTCTAAAATACCATATGAAGAGTGATAAAACAAAGATTATGTAGACTTTAAAATGAGGCGTTTTCAGAAGAAAATTCTTATTAAAGATTGAAGGTTCATGATTATAATGACGATTATAATTTGTTTCTGAAGATTAGTCTGTTGTGAATACAATCCATTAGATACTTTATCTATTTATTTATGAGCGATGTCATTTTCCAACAATTTTTTGAAAGTATAAACTATGGGTTATATTAGTTCACCTAAACTTGTATGCTTTATATTTCATTTTATTATAATGAAATGTATTTTGAGCTGTTCAAATATATTACATTTTTACATAGACAGAGCATCTTGATGGTCGTTACTTTAAAACTGCTTCTGAAATTCGATCGCATGATGACGCCGATCTCAAGGCCGTGGCGATGACGAGTGGAGAGTATGAGATATATATGATGTCTTTCGATCCGATCAAGTTGCCCCACGCATGTAACTGTATACTGTATTCTTCATTCTGTATCCGCATTGTGGCTACTTCTGATCGGACTGATCCAATCTAAAAAGTCACCACAGGTGGTAAAGTCCAACTGAAGGGGTTCACATCTCGCTCACTTGTTAAGACAATGTCTGGATTGGAATTCTCCAGCGATGACGCTCCAATTTTCCGGTGACTCAAGCACGGAAATACATCTCTACCCATCATCATCGCCATCGCCATCGCCATCACCTTCATGTCTTCAGCACTCCACATCACACCATTGCGATCCACTCACTTCCTAGTTAACCATTTTGATTTTCAACTGCAAACTGATTTAGAGCCGCTTCAGAATCGTTATCCCTCTTAAGAATTATATGTGACTGTCGCCAGTACCGTTGGCTTTTATGGATTTTCGAAAAACCAAATTTATGCAGATCACATTCGAATTCCTGTTTTTGTTTTTGCGGGAAAGCAGGTTCTACCCCCCTGCAATAAATATATATATAGATCTAGATGCCAAATCCCAGTTCCGTTCCCAGATTCTGATCAATGACACTTGACTTTAATTGGCTTTCATAAATATACGTCAAAACTTAGTAGCTGGCTTGATTTTTTTTTGTGTTTACAGCCATTTCCAATGCCAAGTTTAAGGTCTAATTTTGAGGATCGCATGTTGGTGATCTCTTGGCCCGATTATTCGTTTGTATGTAAATAGCAGTGATTAACCCAGCGGAGGAGAGTGAAAGGTGTAAACGAAGGCCTCTTTATTGTGTTTGCGGCTCAACCTTCAACAAATTATGCAAATGCAGTCTCCATCGATGGCAATGAGATGAAAACAAAAATGGCCAATAAAAAAGAGACCGAACCAAAAGACTAAGCTTAGATGGCAAGTTTATTATCAATGTGTATATTCACTAAGAGCAGAAGTCATCGCAGTTTGATGATCAGTCGGGATAACTCTGGCTCGGTTAAATTTATTATTATGCTATGTTAGGATTAGGATTGTTTGTGATCAGCGCCTCTGGATCTGCGGTGTTCCATAGGAGGTGAGGCCCGTTGTCCGGGGCACACTGGCATAGGGGGCTCCAGCCTGGAGTGGCAGTTGGGCCACGTTTAGGGGAGCAATGCCAAAGGGCACTGGCAGCTTGAGATTCAGGGAGTTGGCATCCGGACTTGAGGCTATGGAGCGACCCGTTATGGTTCCAGAACCCAAAGGAATTGAAGGCCTGGCCACCTGCTGGGGCTGTGGAGCTGAGGGAGCTACCTGAAGCTGGGACGAAGGTGCTCCAAATACGTAACCCTGACTGGTCAAAGCCTGGGTGAAAGCAGCCTGCTCCAAGGCGGGTTCGGCAAACTGTTGGGCCACTTGGGGATACTGCTGGCTCTGGATCTGCTGGTACTGGGTTCTCTGCGTCCGTTGCAAAGCTGGTCGGTTGGGGGCGGGATAGTGGTAATAGCCCAGCTGGGCACTGGGTGTGATAGAGTAATCCAAATGGGAGACATCTCCCAGAGCCAGGCTCAAAAGCTGCAGCAGTACAATCCACACACAGGTCAACTGAAAGTGGTTTTCATTATAATAGAACCTTAAGAGATCTTCACACACACTTGATTTATCACTCACTTGGGGCGCCATTTCACTTTCTTCACTTCTTGTTCACCGTTCTAGTTCTTAAAACAATATTATTTAACCGGGTCCTAAGTTCGTTGATGTTCGCTGTCGCAGCTTTGGTGGCTGATTAAAATTTGTGAGCCCGCTGAAGATGCTTTTTATATGCGTATGGAGGAGCTGCGATCGGTCGGTTCTCGGAGTGATACCTCTCTCTCTTTGTCACTCTTTTCAGGTCTTCCTCTTGGCTCTTCGTGAATGGCTTTGGGCCAGGCCAACACTTGAGTGCAGGCCAAGACGAAGCTTTTTTGGCATTTTGTGTTGCCTTTGTTTATATACTTTGTTTATTTGTTGTGGCTTAACAAAAAGCTGTTGCCGGGCAGTCTTCTCTATTGATAATATTGATATTTGGCTGCCTTGCATATAAATCACTGTTGGTCATTTTTATTGGCATCCAAACTATGCAACTACAGAAATTAGCAGTGGCATAGTGGTTTCAAACGGGTGGGTTATTTTTAGCAATACCCCCCCTTTGGTTGCACCCCTGTTCTAAAGTTTTCTGCATACCTCAGGCATGTCGACAGCATTTGAGCTTATTAAACACAAATCGAATCGAGCGTCATGTGACAGGAGTCGCAAACATAAAAGCCATTAGCCACCGACCAAAACGGAGGACTTTGGCGGTGCGGTGCGAGATTTGCATGCTAAAGACCTGATTGTTTTCCAAATCTCCGCGTTTGATTGCCGCTCTTTCTGTGCGGGTCTCTTGTCACAGATTGACCTCAGCTGGTGGGACTTAATCAAAATCTATGCGCATCTAATTTTAACTTCCACTGAAAAAAAAGGGTAGTGACTTTGTACAATTATTTTAAATTTGAATTTTTAGTTGGGTTTTTGTTTAGTTTTGACATGGGTACACATTTTAATGATCTATAAATATAGTTTTTTCCATTATTAATTTAATATTACATATGTTATTATTATAAATATTTTTTGAAATAATTTTTTTGGACTTAGTACTTAAATGAAATGCCAAGAATGCGCTACCTTTAATTTTTTAAGTTTTTTTTTTATTTTTACTTCAAGTTGTATTTATTTTAGGCTTTAAAACTGAGAGTGTTTTTACTGTTAAAGATGTAAAATTATTCATACTTTATTTATACCTCGTTTTTTATGGCTACTAAATATGACACCTACTTTTATACCCAATCTCTGAATGCGGAAATCGTCAATTCTCGTTATTTATTTATTCAAAGTCAATGTTTGTGGTGTAATCAAGCTGTCCATCTATGGGCTCGAAAGCTTTTTAAAGTTTAAACGGTTTGACCCAATTGATGTTTGGCTCCGCTATCTTCTATCCATTCATTGAGTTAGGTCAGTTGGTCAAAAGTTCGAAGTTAATTGCGGCAAGTCTGGTGGTATTAGTTTGGGCCCTCTCAATGCCTCGCCTTTGACCAAAATTGGCGGAGCCAAAAGATAGCTCAAAGCCATGAAAACGTCTGAATTATTTATGGGTTTTTGATATAAGCATAATTAAATCGATACGCTCCGCGTTCTTCGCATAAATTCACGAGTCGCGGATAATACGAAACATAACAACATTATTTAGATTTAATTAATTGCTAATTTGAGGAAATTATCATTCATAGTTATGCATAATGAGCATAATGAGGGGCCCATCTGGGGTTTTCATGAGTTACCAGCCCTGAGTGTTAAATGTTGCTGGGGGAGCTCCATAAACAGCAGCCGGAGAATGATGATATGATGGTGGTGGTGGTGCTCCAAAGTGGAGTTTGTATCTTCCGAAAGAGGGGGCGGCTGCAAACTGGTAACCAGTGGGCGGGGCAGCATATCTCGTTAGGAATTGTGGTGGAGGTGGTGCTGCAAATTGAACTGGTGGTGCTGCTGCAAAATGAGACGTTGGTGGTGCAGCAAATCCCGTATATGTGGTGGTAGTAGTGGTCACTGGAGCTCCCAAGGAGTATTTGATGACTGGCTGAGGGGCAGCATATGATGATGAATATTTAAAGATCGGTGGAGGAGCAGGAGCATAATGCTCTTCCGTTCCATAGGCAAATGCCTGATGGGCGTTATAAACCGCTGGGATTGTCACAGTATCGGAAACGGGAACTGCCACTGGAGCGGGAACAGCCACTAGCGATGGAACCGGATATGGAGAGGGCACCGGAACTGGCACTGGAACAGGAACACCCACGGGTACACCCACCGCCGATGGACCATGATGGAAACTTCCCCAGGCTGGAGAGCCAAGACACATCAGAACACATATCCAAGCACTCTAAATAATAAAAAAATATTTCATTAGTATAAAACTAAAATCACTTTTCATTCACTTGCTTTGGAATTTTTAAACATTTTTTCTCCTTATGCTTTCTTCCGTTTTCGATTTCCGTATTAAGTCACTTCTCCTCGACACTTTCACACGTAATGAATCGATTTTTGTTGACCATTGCAGGTTTATATACCTCGATCAGAGTTGCGTTGCTCACATTATGCTGATTTCGGAGGAGGAGGTATGGAAACTAGAGGAGGCGATAAGTAAAAACTCCATTAAGGGATCTGCGCACGACGTGCAATCGACAAGCAAATCGTGCGGCAAATGCATGCGACAAGTTTTGCAATGCCCCATCCTCAAGGGAAATTTGGAGGAGGGTACGAATCACTGGCGGTGGTCAAAACTTTAAATGGGTTTATTTGGAGCGAGTGCATGCCACACTTTTTTTGCAAACATTTTGAAATAAAATGTGTTGCTATGAGAGTATGCGCCAACTTCTTGATTATATCTACTTATTTCTTGAGTATTTTCATGTCATGATGATCAATTATATTTTAGTTACACAAATGCGTCGTATTTTTTGTAAAATCATTTGTAATGTGAACATTTATATTAATTCTAAATTGATTAATATTAATGTTAGCCTTTAATAACCATAAACTGAATTTTTAGTACATTTAAATTTCCATACCCTAAATATCTTTAAAACATTCTAATAAAATTTCATTATAAGGCAATAATTTAGATTCGATTTTTTCGACAAAAATTTTTTTATCAAGAAAAATATTTTCAAAGCGAGTTCATAAAGGATTGCTCAAAGCAGAATAAATTCCCAACTCAATATGAAATGATAATATTTTTTATAATGGAAAAATATTTATTATTCTTCAGGGCATGATCATAAAATGTACACCTAACCCGCTATACTTCGAGTATCCCAAGATACCGCTATCGATAGTAAATCAGCTTAATCCAGCCCACTTCAGAAGCCATTAGCATGTGTACTTCATTTGGCCAAATCCCTGGATATAGAAGTGGATAACTTTTACGAATGCACGCGCTCCACTGCAACAACTTTTACTGCCGCCAGCAGCTGCAAAAAAAATCAGTAATAAGAAAAACAACCAAGTGGCAACGGCTACAAGAAACCCATTGCGATCACGTTCCAGGCACCTTTTTATGCCTTATGACTCTGATTGATGGCCGTTGCCGAAATATAAATGCCAAAATATCACACGCCAGTTAAAAGTCGATTTATTACCGCCGCCAACAAAGCCAGGTTCGAAGCTCTCAATTAGCCGGTTGAAGCCCAAAAGTTGGCAGAGCATTTTGCATCACCCCGAAGCTGCCCAAAAGTGGGCAAAAGCGTGCAAGTTACTGCCACTTCTGCCATAAAATCTGCTTCAGCAGCTGTCGTAAACAGCCGAAATTCCCGCACGGGTGGCCAATTAAATTGGCTGCCAAATGCGCGACACGCGCTCATCGAAATTGTCAACAGAAAAACCGGGGGAAATGGAAAATGGGTGTGGGAAGCCTGTGAAATTACCATAACAAAGTGGCTAAATCAGAAATCGATATGTTCACCTTCGCTGAACCGAAAAAGAGGGCACTAAAATGCGGGAATTTCCACGAAGATTTTCCCATTTTCCCTTTTGCCAATGCTGAGTGGAGCACACGCCCAGCTCTTGAGTTCTCAAGTCCCTCGAGTGGTTGCCCCCGCGATTTCCACCAGCGACTTTCCCCCGACTTTCCACCGCCGATGGCAACAGGTGGGGCTCTTCAGTTGGAGCCGCATTGTAATATAATGTAATGCTTGCTAAATCGCTGCACGTGTTTGCCAACGACAAATGCTCGTTTTCCCTTTGCCCCGGAAAAACTTTGTTGCAAGCATTTGAAGTTTTCAACTGATTTGATTCGATTTGATTTGATTTGATTCACTCAATTGATTGGGCATGCTGCTGGTATATTGGCTGGAAAATATGCTACAATTATTATACGAATTGTTTCCTCTTAATTGCTCTTTAATTTGAATTTTAATGCAACCACCCTGTATTTGCTTATATAATCTGTAATCCTTGCTGCCATATTGCGTATACGCAGTCGTTGAACTCGGTGCAAGGACATGCGAGGGCATGGCTGCATTAAATTATCGGTTGCAAATCCTTTGCACAAATAACAAGTATATAATTACGAGCAATGGTTGAGTGTGAGGGTATGGTTCGAGCTCCCCTCATGTCAATGTTCTTGGTCAAGGTTATATGAAAACGTGTGCATTTTCTCAACACTGATAAAAAATCATAAAAATATTCCTAGTTTTACAGGAACTATTTTTAAGTTGATAATATAGAAGGAAAAGAAAATGAGAATTGTAATTTTCAATATCAATTTAACATTATTAAGGTTAAAAGAGATATCTGAATGGTTGAGTGTGAGGGGATGGTTCAAGCTATCTTCATGTCAATGTTCTTGGTCAAGGTTATATAAAAACGTGTGCATTTTCTCCACACTGATAAAAAATCATAAAAACGATACATATTTTAATGAAATTATTTTTAAGTTGATATTATAGAAAGGGAAATTCAGAATTGCATTTTTCAATATCAATTTAAAATTATTAAGGTTACCAGAAAATTAAACTGAAGCTGAGAGAAATTGAGATATTACATTTTCAATCCTTGTTTTAAGCTTTTTGATCCTTTGGTGATGATTAACCCTTTTTTTCCTGTGCACAACGTGCATTTCCGTGGCAAAGGATTGGGTTTCCCGGGAAACAGCTCGACCCTTTGAAATTAATTTTCCCTGAATCCAGAGCTTGTGGCTTCAATGCGGGTTTTAATTGCAGCAATACGAGTTGTGATTCTCGACTCGCATCCTGCCAAAGGTCGTTGCCCTGGCTCGAATCAGTGACTTGTTAATAATGCAGAGCAGCAGCCAGGCAAAATGCAAATCCAATTCCGCTCGAGTAATTCAATTAGGCTTAGCATACTCTCGGGCTAAACGCAAAAAACTCAAAGGGAAGCCCACAATTTTGGTATTTGCCTGAATTTGCACTCAATCTGAAGAGCGGGAGGCAGACAACAGGTGTGTTGCATTCGCGAGATTGTGGGAAACAGCTGAGAGTTGCAACTGTGCCATGAGAGCACCTGCCACAAAATGCATCCACTTAGTGTCAACCTAGGAGCTCAAATGAATATTCAATGACTTATGTTAAGATGTAGGAAGCAAAGTTGTTGCCCACCTTTGTCTGCGAATCCCGCCAAGGTTGTTGCCAAATTATCGCTTGACTAGCTAACGGTAATGCTGTCTTCATAAGCCCATAACTGGCTCATGAACAGGGGGCACATAATTTATGCCGAACTGAACTGAGACAAATTAAACTTATAGCTGGGCACAATAAAGTTGGATGGCTGTCAAGGTCGAAGAGCCGCCAACAATGGCTTATTGTTATTGGGCGCTATGAATTACATTTAGTTAGCCCCACCCTTTCGGCACAAGATTTTCACTTTGCGAAATAACATTTATAAAAATAAAATCGTAAATTGATTTGCAATTCTCTAGCCACCGGGCAAATATTAATACACGACTTTTCAATTTTCGTATGAATTATAGTTATTTTTTTGGTCCCAGGATCAACTGGCCGGCTGAAAAGGTAATTAAGTGAGTCAATTCACTTCTCAGCAGCTCTTGATGTGCTCCAATTTTTCACTTACGAAACTGGGCAAAAAGCATTTAGCTGCGACAGTTGGCCAGGCATTAATAAAAATATATTTCAACGCACTTTTCACTGGTCAACCTGTTGACAGGCGCACGCGTTTGTCGCTTGAGTCTTTCGTCTCTACGCCAATGATAATTGCCAGGGGCGGAGGGGTAAACTGCGGAAAGAGGGGCAGGTGGGCTGGGCAAGGCGTTGCAATAAAACAATTTTTTCGGTATTTTGTTTTTTCCTCGAAATTTCAAAACACTCGACGGGAGTCGGTATGAATCGAGTTGGTCAAGTAAAATTAATTTGCAGTGCAATTGAATGCTGAATAGGAGCAGAAATCGCGGGGATAGTTGGGGTGAACTAGTAGTTGGCTGATGGAAAATTGAACAATCAGTTGGGTGTGAAATTTTCGTGATGCCACGACTAGCAATTCGATCTGGAATCCTTATAAATACTCATAGAACTGTGCAGTTCACACTCTACTACCAATGATTGTTTGTTTATGTCTTTATTATTCAGCACCCAAACATAGAAAATAGTAGTGAAAACAACTTTGTTTGCAATTGTTTTGTAAAAATGAATTTATTTAAGTGCTTAACTTTTTATTAACCCTTTAAAATTGTTAACCCATTACCTGGTTGCTCCAAATGTCGAACCATTTAAGACAATAAGATATAAATTTGCATACCAAATGGAATTCAACCTACTAGTTTTTTGCTATTAAAAGAAACTTTTATTTATCGAAAGTGTATTAACAATTGAGCAAAATTAAATTATAGAAAATGTATGCCCCTTTGACAACACTCAAATTGTGTCTTTAGGAATATTCACCCCGAAAATTAAAAATCATTTTCATTCGTTTTTAGAGTCATTTATCGTTTATTTACAGAAAGTGCTGAAGCCACAGTGAAATGAGTTGCACCTTTATAACAAAATCAACGAATCTTGATCCTTCCTTCAATCTCTCGCTCTCGCCGCCTCCCGTTTAGTTATCCTTAGTTCTCTAAGTGTCTCTGTCTCTAAGTGGATGTTATTTTCTGGGGTTCTGGAGGGTTTTTGTACACAATTTGGGGATTGACCCGATTATTCAATCTGACTACGAAATGCAAATTCAACACTTTGACGGCAGCAAAATGCGAATTATCCGCTGTAATATCTCACTTCGTGGGGTCGTCAACTTGGGATGATATCGCATACTCCATCAGATCCTTAGTGCAGGTAGCCACCATGTCCGTAGCCGGAGTATCCCAGACCGTAGCTGCCGTAGCCGCCGTAGGATCCATGGTAGGTGGAGGTGGAGTGCAGGGCGGGAACGGCATGGACCAGAGGAGCAGCATGGACCAGGGGAGCGGCATGGACCACCGGGTAGGACTTGGTGGCCACCTTATAGGTGTTGGCATACGAAGTGGCCACCGGATGGGCCACAATGGGGGCGG